CTTTATCTGTATACCTACTGTGATGTTCTGTCTGCCCTGAACATTTGTTCATGAACTGCTGCTAAACTTTTTGCTCTTTGTTTTGTTCTCGCATCATTCTATGATGAGAGAACATATTATCCTACCATGTTCTTTGCCATCCCTTTTCTTCCTTCTTTTTCAATTTATCTTGTTGCTCATCATTTTCTCTCTTTGCCTCCCTTTACTTAATCTTTCCCATTTTTTCAAACTCCATTGTTGTCTTCTTTTAATATCAAAAAATTTCTTTAAAATGTTAGTGCACTATCATTTCCTAATAATCACTTATGTCACTTTTAAATGTTCTTTTCAGCTATCATGGTTTATCGAGCCTTCCCAAATCATAGTAAACGCAGTTTGAAACTAACGCATGCTATTATTCATGCTGTGGCATTTTTGCTTGCAATAATTGCTCTACAGGCAGTATTTGATTCACACAACCTAGCACCCACAAAGATACCTAATCTTTATTCTCTACACAGTTGGATTGGTCTAAGTGCCATAATATTGTTCGCATGCCAGGTGAGAATAAATATAATGTAAAAGTATGGTGTGCTACTTTTTAATTTTTTGTAATTGCATTTTAACAATTGTTTGCATCTAGTTGTTGGCAGGTCTAGTAACTTTTTTGTATCCCGGTTTGAAGCAAACATTCCGAGCTGCCTACATGCCTGTTCATGTGTATTTTGGCATTTTGGGATTTGTTTGTGCTGTTGCATCTTCAATAATGGGAATTTTAGAAAAAAGTATATTTAGGTAATAAAAAGAAAGAAACTAAAATATAAATCTTAAAATTAAATTATTTTGTAAATTACATGGAAATGCTTTTGATTATGACAATTGTATATTTCTTATTACAAATCTTGAGCAACTTTTGTATTTTACAGGAAAGAGTATTCTTCATTTGACTCTGAAACATGGCTCGCAAACTTTCTTGGAGTTGTCCTGCTTATATTTGGCAGTTTGGTTGTATATTTAGTGACCGAGTCTCGATACAAAAGGCAACCTCGTCCTGAAGATGAGATTCTTCTGACAGGAAATTTGGAATGAGTTACTCTATGCTGCTTGTTAATAACTCTCTTGATTCTGAATTATTGAGATAACTGCTGTCAGATAGATATGATTAAGAGGATGGGGTTATTCTGCTTGTTATTGTTTTATTGTGGCATAGTTAGTAGTTTGCATGGTGATATATTATTAGAACTATTATTAGATATATCAGTAAAATTATTACACATTGAATTTTGGGGAAAATTTGCATAATTTTTCTTGCTGACAGACTGATATTTATTACTGTGCATAACTAAGAGATACAAGCTCATGTGATTCGAGATCATATTTGTGTTGTGCTATATTTAATGTTATTTTATTTTAATTTAATTTAATTTAATCTCAAATAATTGTTTCATTGCTTAAATTGTCATGTTTGATCTCTTCATTTCATATAATGCTTACCTTACCGTATTATCAAATATATTTTTGTCAAATATATGTCAAATATATAATATATTTTCTCTATCATGTGAAATGCTAAATAGTTCTTATTGTCAAGCGTATGAATTCTGCATTTAAAGAAAGTGAACATAAATTTTGGTGACTCATTAAATTAGTCATGTAAAAGTTGTTCAAACACTTAAAATGTCCCAAACCTTCTTATCACTGATAATCTGCATCTTTCAATGGAAATTACTGTGCATTGGCGTAAAGAGCAAAGTTGTACCATAACCTTCAATGTGCAATATTCCTCAGTAGAAGCTTTAGTGAAAATTAAGTTAATCTTGGAAGCCTGTTTTCCCAGAATGAAACACGTGAAGTATGCCTATTTTCTTTGGAAAATCAAATTTTTTTCACTTTATGCTCATCCATCTACTAGTACACGATTTTCACTCTGCCTTCTTAGTAATCTTTTCTTGTGAATCAAATTTTGAGTGATTTAAAGTGATAATTTTCAGAAATCATATTGTGAATCTCACATGTTCCATGAAATGCTGAAGTTATTTTCCTTTGCTGGGTTTCTTATGTTTGAAACTGACATATTGCAAAAAAGTCTTTGTTAGAGAAATGTCCACTATTCCATATTCAGTTACACAGAAATGCATACTTGGAAATTGAGATTAGACATTTTCAATATCTAATTTCACCATCAAGAACTGCTTCTAGGAAAGAAAAATCCCAAGTAGTTATGTCATATAAATTCAGATTCCAAATATTCATGCTTTACTTGGAAGATAGTTGATCAAACGAAGTGCATGATGTTCTTATGAACTTGGTTTTTTTTTATATTACACATCTGATCTCTCCAATTCTGTTTTCAAGGCGTGTGCATTGATTCTCCCTGTTGTCACTTTTTCTTCTCTTCATTCCTTGCATATTTTACAAAGATGGAATTTAATTGGAATTCAGTAGTTTTAATTAAACATTTTAATATAAAAAACACGGTAGATTTTTATTCCTTAATACCAACTGGATTAGAAATTTTCAACTTTGTACCTATTCATTAATTTCAATTTTTAAGTGATTTTTAATCAATACATGATCACGATTTCAATGTAAAAACATTGTATGGTACTTAGTAGTCAATGGCATGTTATGATAAAATGTATGTAATGAAAATGCTTTATATACAATGAACATTATATGCAAAGCAACTTCATAGGATCAAAATTAAATAAGGGAATACATTGTTACAACTGTTCTTCTGTCCTCCCATGCCCATTAAATTCAGAAAGCCATCTCAAATTGTGGCGCATAGTGAAAATAACAGCTTCATGTTAATTAGTTCAAGATATGTGTTTGTCTATAGAGCAGTGAAGAAAAGTATATTATGAATGCAGTTAATGTCTTTTTTTATTTTATTGACTTACCCTATTAAACAACATATAATACGTATTACACTGAAGTTGCGGGCTGTTTTTTTTCTTCTTTAGAAAAATACAAAGTATGTTCAAATTTTTAAAACATATTTCAATATCAAGCCCTTTAATTTTATTTTCTATGCAGATATGCATGGTACATTCAAAGAATTATACATTTTTGATTATAATAAAAGAAATGGAATTGTCACAATTTGAATGTTGTTAATTTTTGTTGAATTTTGCTGAACCTCAAAATATTGCTAATATCAAGTTTATTATTTACATAATACTTGTTACACAAAAAATATTTTGAGAAATATGCTTTTACAATGTCAGCAGTTAAGATTTGATTATTGTATAAGGTTATTACGTATCATATTTTGTGGATAGTCCTGTTGATATGTTGTGTTATGTGTATTAACTGAGTAGCTCCTCTGTTAAATGTTTTGTAATTAATGCATTCTGCTTGCATACAATACTTCCACTGAAATGACTTAAAACATTCTAGTTGATTCTAGATGTCAAGGAGACAAATAATTTCTATTCACTTCATACAGGAAATAACAACTCTAAATGCCTGCATGCTACTATTGTACCATGTTTGGGAATCAATGGCTTTAGTGGTTCTTTGCTGGAAAAAGTGAGCCTAAATCCGGCAAAAATCTTCTGTTGTTAGTGAGAAAATACAACTTCCATGAAATTACCTTATATACATGTTAACACCATTGTTACGATTTATTAATTTTTCTTGGAAAAGGTATTACGTTTTTGCCAGTTATAGGATATACACTTATTGAATATAGCATTGTGACAATAAAATGTTATGTTTCACTTTCACATGCATAGGTTGCGTAATTGGCGTAGAATAATCATTTTTGAAGAATATATTTAATTAGTGAGAAGTACGTACTGAATTGCAAATGTAAACAAAGCTTCAAGAAATTTACTTAATGATTTGAACGCTAAGTTATTCCAAATAATAGTAGTTGCATCATATAATTTGTACTTTTATTTTCATGAAATGCCTTTGATTATAAAAAGTATGTAGCACAATTGCCATACATCATCACACAGCTATTTACATTTTTTAATATTTTATCGGAGCAATATTATGAAATATTTAAATCATAATTTTATGATCTTGCTGCAAACTTAATTGCCAATTGATATTCAATCAGCAGATGAACTGAAGACCATATAAAGTTCTCAATTATAATTATTTCATTTTAGAATCTAAATTTTCCGTTTACATTACTTCATATTTATTAGCTAACAAAATTCCATTACAAAACTTAACATTTGAATGAGGATATGCATCTTTAAAAGACATGTACAATGTGAAGTATTCTTGCACATGCCTGACCTTGAATGAACCAAAGGCATTATTAATGATAAAATATAATTTGAAAATAATTATTTAAAAAAAAATTGGTGTTCGATTCTTAAATTGTCATTTTATATGGCAGTACTACAGTATTGTTTTGCGCACATTTTTCCTTGTTCTGGGAATATTGATAAATGAAAGTTGTTTTCAGTATTAAGTTGTCTTCTTGTATTCATTGTGGGTATGTAACTTAAGGCCTCTATGATGTATTACCAATGTTTATTTTTTCTATGTAGAATGAAACTGAAAAAAGCAAGAAACGTTGACATATGTATATGTGCGCATAGGTATAGTCCCATATTTGTATGAGAAAAACTTGCCTAATAAACTATGTATTTGTGTTATCATGAATGTCCAAATCTCCATTATTTTTCTCATTATACTAATGTGTTTTGTAGTAAATTATACAATAATGATAAACGAAAAAATCAGTTCCCTAGAGTCTTACATTAATTATTTTGAAATGTTACTACAATAAAAAACGTTAGGCACATCACTAAAATAACTCCACTCATTGCATTTTTCTCAGATATTTATTTCATACTTCATATCCCATTAAAAAAATATATCACCACAGTAGAATTCCACTTAAAGGTTTCATTTCAAAATAACAAACACCTTTCAGTGGAATTTGATTCTAATACTTGTTTACTCCAGTATTAAATGCCAGGTATCTTAACAAACTAGGGAGCACAGGTATGTCGCAAATTTTGACACAATCCTGCTTTAATGCATTGCACACACATTATCCATTATATTTCACATGACTACATTCAAGCAAACAAAAATGAGAAAATATAAATTTCAAAATGAGCATGGCATTTACAAAAAATTCAGCATACAACTGAAGCTACTCTTGATACTGTATACGAGTGCAAGAATGAAATCTTTTCTTTTATGAAGTACATACAAATCTGCATTTATACTACGTGTAGGAACAACTAACACAAGGTTCAATCTGCTTTTCATACACCTTTAATGAATGTGTTTGCCTGTGAATTTACCTACCATGAAGCAACAAACATGTAGTTCACTTTTAATTGACAAAAACAATAAACAATTGTACTGTATGATCTGACAGAAAACCACACTTTTTATAATACATATGAAATCAACTTTCTGAATACTGATATTTCAAGAAATGCTATGAAAAACACAGGAATTTATTCATACATTAAGTGATTATTTATAATAAATTATGTAAATAATAAATACAACAAGGAAAATAAAATAAAAATAAAATTTACATAGATCATCAAAATGTGAATAATTTAAAAACCAAATTTCACCAAATGTTCACAATTTTACATCATTTACACATGTATCACATTGCCAGCAATGTGATGAAGTTTTATGCTTATCACATTTGTTTTAAAATCAAATACAGGGTGATCTGTTCAGTCATCACAAGAATTAATACAAGAGAGTTATGCATCACATTCAAACACACAATGTAAGTCTACACACTACAAAAACAATTGCCAGTAATTTCAATAAAACTATGAAATGTACATTAAATCACAGGAAGACAAATGTTTTTGTTTATACAACTCAATATGCTGTTTTAAAAGTATTTTATTGTTGTGGGCAAAGTTTTCATACCTGCCATTCACCCAGAAACTCACAAACACATGTATGCACACATTTTCTTTGATTCATGCACAGATCACCCTGTATGATAACAGCAATCTTGTACATTGCACATTCCAAGAAGTACTACAATGTCCTTTGTCAGAAAACAACAAATAATTTATTAACTAGGCCATTTTTCTGCCCACTGAACAAAAATAATTTCAAGTGGAAATTTTTATTCAAAATCTATAAAATACTAACATTCTTATATTTCAAAGAAATGTTTCATCTTCCATACTAGTTATACTCATCAATAAGATATTTTTGAATTTAGACAATTACAGAAGCACAAAACAAATGTGGATAATTAATACTGAAATATTTACAAGAATTTGTCAATCATTCTGAAGTATTCAACATCAAAACACAACCTTTATAACGAAGTTATGATTATACCAGAATTGATCCTGAACTATACAAAAGCAAGAAAATATTTGATGCACTAAAAGAAAAATGGCAGACAATGAAAGGGAATCAGGTTGGATATTATGTAGATAACAAGGGACCTTGTTTAAATGTGATGATACAAAGTTATACAGATTTATTAGTTTGGCAGTTTTACTTAAGGTAAGACCTTGAGAATTCATTTATGCCATTTTCAAATGAATCAGCAATGAAACTGAATAAAAAATATCCAAAATAGGTCAAATCACAAAATACTTGATCCTATTAATGTTACTTTCCAAAACTGTGATTGATACATATACAAAAGATTAGTACCTAAATAAAAAGGCAAGGCCCTTAATAAAACACAAAACACTTTACTGACAAGTTATCTGCCTTTCCCAAACAGGGAAACTAAGAAAATGCAATTGCAAATCCGAAGTTTATTTATCCTTGGTATACAATTTGGGGTCCACAATAAAATGGAAATTGAAAGACAAAGAATAGTAAGATTTTCCCCCTACTTTTTGATTTAAAAAAAAAAAAATCTTCACGTATTAAAAATGACTTGTTTTTATCTTTAAATACATTTTTGACAAAGTCACTGACTAGACAAGGTCTCTTTTACCACACAAGTATCTTCAATTAAATTGTCTTACACAGCATATACAGGAAGTAAATTGGTTTGAAACAATAAAAATGTTCCATAATCATATTTCTTTAATTTGAGCAGCAATGGAACATGTTACAATTATGAGGTATACATTTTCCACCATTTCCTGTTTTATCAGTTATAACAAATATCTTGATACTTTCTGCCACATGTTTCACGTTAATTCACACATCTTTTCTATTACACATATATAATATACAAATTCTCTCAGAATATGAATATAATTCTTTAACATGCAATCACACAAATTATTTGTTTTCACTACCTCAAAATTCTGCCAAGCTTATTTGGTAAAAACTTGCTGCCGCCCATTTTGCATGAGAATCATGGAAAATTAAATATGCAGTACAAAAACAAAGCATTTCAGTTATTAGTGGATTGAAAGCAAATTACAAGTAGTATACAAAACATTAGAAACTTATGGCTATTGGAAATTGTATTATTTTCTCTTTAATCATACAATTGCTGGAATCACTGTGATTACTTCAATATTATATGCTAATAATTTTTTTAAAAATTGAAAACGAAATCTATATTTGACTTTGTAATAAAAACATGTTTTTGAAACATTGTATTATTATATGTAGAATATATGTACGACCTTTACCTTATGGAGAGAAAACGAACAAAACAAAACATTACGAGAAATTCAGATAATTGCAATAAGAATTTTCCTCCACCTCACAATATGCTGCATTTATCATTTCTGTAACTATCTTACACTAAAACTACTTTCCTTTATCATGTTTTCACTAATAATTTTTTCACAGCAAGAAGCCTCTGAATAACACACAAACATGTATTGCAATGTGCGTTGGAAAGAAAGCCATTTCCAGCCACAAAACAGATGTGGATCAGTAACACCCATTATGAGTTTACGACAAACTTAATCACCCTATTATTTGCAGGTCTGCAGCATTTGATACTCTCATTTTATGTACAATATCTTCTAACTAGTCATACCATTCTGTCAGCACAATTTCCAGATATGTTGGTGACAAATTCAGGTGAATGCACTGTAGTAAAATTACTTATAAAATTGGAAAAGTAATTAAATTTTTACTTATATTTAGTTGCTTAAATACTGTCAATATGATTTATGCTTTGAAGACAGCACTGACTCGTATTTTGCTTCATATTTTTTTGTTTCAATCAAGTTCCTTTGAGCGTACTACTTGGGGGAATAAATTGCCTTCCGCACTATGAATGTATTTTACTGCAATTAATAAAGTATTGAATAAAGTGTGTCAAACCTAACTAATAATGCAGAGTAAATAATTTAGATGAGAAAGGATATTCAATTCAAGAAAATGAACTTACTGCTTCTCAAAAAAAAATAGGCTGTCCATAAATTATCTAACACAAATGAGAAGCAAACATTCAAAACATGACACGTCCACTTAACTCTTTTCCAATAAAACTGAAAAATTAGCACAAATTTTACACTCTACAATAGTCTTTAACCCAATGAATAGAGTACTACTCACTGTAAGACATCTCATGTTTTTCTCTGGATATAAAATTTTAGGTAAGAACAACAGAATTAAATTTTTGGTCACCTTTTGAATATTTGATCCTTAAATATGGAGTATTTTAGATAATCCTCTACATAACACTAGCTTCGGTAACACACCTCCCCTCCTAAAATAATTATCTAATACTTATAACATGCCTATTAATAAAAAGTAAAAATAAATTCTAGAATGATAAAGACAATTTGTATTAATTTTGTGTGTTATACTCGAATATTTACAATAATTAAAGAAGTTCAATATTTGGTATTTAAAGTAGAAGCACATACACTTAAATTTGGCCTATTTCTGGTTTCATTTTTTGTAAACTGACATTACTTCTTAAAATTACTGAATTTATTTTCATGTAACACTAAGCGAATAAAGAGAGGGGAAAAATAGGAAATTCTTTGTACCACCATCTGCAGTTTTACCACCAAATAAAAGAAGAGCAAACTCTGACTTTGGCTGCACACAATTCATGGGACTCTTTGGAATTCAATAGGTTTACATGCAGTTTACTGCAGGGAGGTCAGAATGATTCTCTTTTCTGCATCCTGTAAAAACTCTCCCCCAAAAGGATTAGAAAACAATTTTACTTAGTAAAAGATGAAAAAATTACTGTGAAAAATTAAAGAAATAGTTAAATAATGATTTGAGCCCTAGTTATTACCCTCTCAAATGTTGGCAAAGGTGGTGGGTGGCATTTACAATGTGGTACAAAATAACAAGCCACAGTGGAAATTAAGAACTATATTTTTGTTAAATATCATTTGTGTGCAATGACACATGATTAAAGAATGAATTTAAACTCATCCACTCAATAAAACTCAGAATTAATTGGTAATGTTGGCTATAAAGATGAGGGAGAATTTTTCAGGCGAGGAAGGACACACAGGTGAAAATATTTCTGCCAACAAACTGGGAAGATGTTGTTGATAACATATACACAGAATAATTTACAAATTTAACTGGATTCTCAAATATAATAAAGATCAGTATTGAATGTTTTCTTGAACATTATCAGATTCAATGAATAAACAGTTGATGAAAAATATTTCCATTTATTACAATAATATAAACATCATTACTCTTAAATTTTTTTTTTTTAATTATTGGGTCTATATATAATATAGACTGAATAAAAGTTATTATTTCTCCAAATATTGAAAAAATATTAGTATTACATAAAAGTAAACTAACAACCCCTTCCTCGGTGTAATAATGTAATATCGCCATTACATAATTTCTGGACAACCCCTAAACAGGTCATAGAGATGTTCATAACGAAATTCCAAATTGATGCATCATAAATAAGTAAGAAAAATGAAGAGAAAAGAACAGAAAAGAAGTATTATCTCTATACTGTGTTAAGTATTCCAACCAGTGAAAGGTAGCATGAAAGTGTTACTTAAAAACATAATCACTTCATATCACAATGCATTCAATCTGGCAGCTTAGTGCCACCGAAATGACATTTGCACTTCATATTGCATGTTTTTGTTTCAACATCAAATTGAGCTGCTAAAACTGTTCCCTAAATTTTTATAGGTAAAAAAAATTAAAGTTTTGCTTTGAAAATTAATATGGAATATAAAAACAAAGTGGTTAAATTTATGGAAAAAATGTCATAATATAAAATGTTTCATTACTAACAAAGTTCAGCTCTTTCACATAAACAACTATTGAGGAATTTGTATTCCTGACAAGAACTCAAAAATTGATTTTTTTACCCCACACATTCATCAAAAAAAAAAAAAAATTCATGTCCAATTACATAATTACTTCTGGCAACAGTTACTTACAACTTATACAATTTGTTCATGATTTTTTATGATGAAGTTCCGTCTTTTATGTGAGAAGTTATTTCCTTCTGCTAATATTATTTCAGTGTTCAACTCTACATGGTGCATATTACATCAAAGTACTAATTCAATCACAATAAAGGCAAGATTCATTTGCTACAAATGGACTAATAATCTTTTTCTAGTGCCCATGTATTTTTTCCATGATGAAACAAGACAATTCAAAGTAGTTACAAAGAACTATATTTTGCAATACATAGCTTACACAGAAAAATATTTCAACAACTAGGAACCCTATAACCGTGCCTGAAGAATAATGAGTCTTAAGAAAAACTCACTTTATCATTTTTAAATTTTTAATGAGATTGATCTGTGTATGCATAATAATAAATATATTTACTACCCCACATCTAGATACGGGCATTTTTCTTACATAATTTTGTTATGTAATGACATGTTGATTACTTGTTCTCTTTAATTTTTAGTACTGGAAACTTATGAGCCTTCTTTCATGATATCAGGACAAATATAGAAATAGTACTGGCAGTCAGATCGCATGTTATTTGGCACATGTACAGTGGACTATAATTTGGTAAGCCTGTTAGAAAATAATGGAGTAAATGTTGAAATAAACTTTATTGCATGTTTTCTCAATCACAGTGCTTTTTGTTAAATGTCTATTGTAACAAAACGTCCAAACTCATCCTTTAAGTGCCCAAAAATCAAGTAGGGATTATATTTTAGCTTTCAGATTTGATGGGTCACACATCCACATGACTAGGATTGGGGACTTTCAACCAATATTCAATTTTCAGCACTTTATTTTTCACATATGCTCTCCTACGAATGCTGGTGTGAAGAGTTTAAATCCAAGACATTTCCCCTATAGTTATTCTAGGCCAATCTTTCACATACACAATGCAATAAAATATCAAATATAATAAATTGTTATAAAGTGAGATGCAATAGTGGTCTACAATAGTGTTTATTTTTTAGACTAAAGGACATATAAATCAACATATACGTTATCATATAAATCACGTCCTTCATCACTGATAATTTTTAGAATTATCTACCAAGTTGAATTTACATTTTTCAATAAAAAGAGAAAATCAATTGACATTTGGTTCCAGGCAACAGTGTAGTGGCTTGCTAGTTTCTCAAGCCAGAGCTTTAGTTTAAAACTGATAACGGGAGTTTGGGTTCAGGGGACATCAATACTTCTTTTGTTCAGTTGTTTATGTTTCTATGTGGAGGGAGGTACGGATAAAAAACAAAGTAGGGACAAAATATTAACTACTCTAAGTAGATGTTCAGAACACTAAAATATTGTGAAGGAATAGATTCTCTTGACATTTGAGCGGATGATAACTTTTGGAAAATCAGCAAGTAATTTGTTGTAATTTAAAAATGTTGAGAAAGTTAATACTATAATATGTCAATGAAAAATTCTCGTTCACAGGAAAATCAGAACCAAGGAAAAATGTTAAGAACAGAAATATGTTCCACAGAAAAATCCATGAAATTCAAAATTTTTTTCTACAATTTTTTTGAAGTAACTAAATGAAAATATGAATCTTAATATTTCAGAAAGTGATTAGCAATTTGGAGTACTTTGTTGTCTTTCTTGAATACCCATAATTCAGTATCCTGGAAGTAAAAGAGTTCAGGACAAAGTATTAACCACATTCAGTTGCTCTAAGCACATCAATGGACATGATGACATATTAGTATTGTAATATAATACAAATCACATATGAAATCTACATTGGGTAATCATCTCTTGCATAATTTTTATATCCTCAAACTCTAAAGGATACCATAGTGTAACGAAGTGCCAGTAGAGAAGCCACTGTTTGCAGAAGTGTGTTTCAGTTCTAATATGAACTATGAAACATGATTTACAGAAAATGCAATCTGAACTACATGGGGTTTAGTTCAGAAACTGCCCTATTACAGACATGTCTAATGCTTATGAGATAAAAGTGCAGAATTATTCTTCACAATTTTAATACACCCAAGTGATTAAATGCAATCAGTTTATAGTAGGGATGAAACACTGAGCTTACGTGAAATGAAACAATACATTTTAAGGAAATATATACCAAAATTTTAAAAATGTCATTTCCATATAGTACACTGTTTAATTTACTTTCGAAATTTTAAATATTCCTTTCAAAATTTGTTGGGTGCAGTTTCCTATTTGTTAAAATTTAACAAATTGCAGTTTCCTACTTGTTAAAATTTTATAAAAGAACAATTGTGAACCCAAAACTATATAATTGTACAAGTTAATACTATAGTTAAATATATTTTGTTATTACACACACATATTTACATATTTATTTTGGGAGGAGTTTAAGTGATTCTTCATCAATACTCTTACATATTGCAAAGATTCAAATCTACAGAGATTAAAAGACTAATAAAATAATTACTTCCATTAAATTGCATGACATAGGGCAATTATATTTGAGAAAATTTGAAAGGAATAAATATTGAAGAGTTTACATTCAATGTAAGCAATTTCTTAATGAAGGGATTAATTAATAGGGTGGAAAAAGTGTTCCCCTAATCTTCATTAAAAATATTTATTATATTTGGAACACCTGAAATAATTTTAATTGATAATCAGTACTTGTAGAAAGAGTTCAAATATAATTATTGCCATTTCAAGAATTAAACTACATTGCTGCTTTTCAGTTGTTGGATTTTAATATTAAACCTAAAAGCTGCACTTCACCCAAAAATAAATATTGTACATGCCTAGAGCAGTTGTTTTCCATAATAAACAGAAAAATAAAATAAAACAATCTGAATGAAAGTAACAGAAACTTGTGGTTAACATAGCTTAAATTGCAAGAATTGAAACTTATGCTTACAAGCGTGTTCTGTAAAAATGATTGGGCATTCTGATTGTCATGTTACAAACATGACCGTCCAAACAACTTTTTTGAGACTCTCTCTCTCTCTTTGAATTTAAGATTAAAATTAAAAAAAAAATTTCAAAGCAAATAATATTAACTCATGCTGTCAAGTTCTTAAGCTTTTGGACTTTAATTTTTTCACTCACCTAGAAACAACGACTGTACAGGTAATCATGTATGAGTGTATTTAAAGAGCTTACCTTTGACAGCATTTTAGATTTTTTCTCATAAAAATAATATTTTTTTAATGGAAAAAAAAGAACAATTGAAAAAATTAAAAGATACTGTATTAAACTTGATATTCAATGACACCAATTAATATTATCTAAAAAATGTGTATCCAAAATAATTCTATTTAGGTTTTAAACGCAGGGGAGGGGATGAGTTCAAAAACATTAAAGAAATATCACAATTTGGACAAACATGTACAGGTAATTTTCATTACAAAGTAACAGTAAGGAGGAGTGAAAATATCATTTTGAGTACCTTAAAGGGCAAAAGGTTTCAATATTTTCATGCCTGTGCAGTTTCAAAACTTTCAACAAAATTCCACTTTTAAAAACACTATTATCAATCGTTTCTTTAACAACAAAACAAAACAAAAAGGATTGTGAGCCTGAAAGGCTAATCTATTAAAGGTAATGATCTGGTAGAAATTTAACAATTTTACTTGTGTGACAGTACAGAGAAGAGTATCATTATGAATAGTATTGGCTTGTAAACAAGCACTTGCAAATAGCAAATTAAATAACTTAAAGGATTTACAAATAAATTTCTTTTACAGTGAAACTGGTCTTAAGGGAACACTAATAGTTTCAGATAAAATAAGACGTAAATACAGGTGGCCGCTTAATGAAGGTTATGTGAAGTGTACATCAGGTCCAAGTTTACTTATTGCTATGAAATAAATTATGTTTTGATAACATATGTTAATTACTTTAATCTACAACATACAACAAACTACACTTAAATTATAAAATACAGACAAATCTGATCATACATGGATTTATTCCCCTTTTTTCCAAAAAAGTCTTGTGGAGTCATTTGATTTGGAAGTTTACATCTTTTTTGAGCTGCACAGGTTTCAAAACCTTAATGTATGTTCTTTGCTTTTATGTTTCCTTAATTTGTGTCCTTCCACACTTAAGAATGTCAGCAAATTTTGTAGTTGAAACCACTTTTTCATTTCCTAAGATCACTAGCCACTTTTGGCCAGTACCAAAAACCCTTGACTTGTCATTCATTCTCTTAGTCGAAAAACTGACTTTCCATCCTCACTAAACACAAGCAGACTAGACTCCAGGATGGAAGTCATATCCTTTGAAAACTTTAGAGTAGGGCTGTCTGAAGGAGTTGGTGAATGACCTACAAATCAGTTTTACGCACGGCATGCTCTATAGGCCATTGACAAGTTCCCACAAAGGAGAGGCAGAGTTAAGCAAACATGACAAGAATGCTGAGGAATAAGCAGAGTGAATGTGTTGTTGTTTCATAAAATCATAAGCTATCTGAAACAAATTAATTCCCCTGTGAGAGAAAAGAGCCTCTAAATGTCACATTCTAATACGTGATTTAATAATGTGTCCTGTCACAAGAAAATACTGAATCAACAATATTGCCACTGCTCAAAATCAGCAGAGGTGACTGCTAGTACAGGAGTCTACAAAATTACAAAATGTGCCCTACCACTGGCTACTTTCAAGAGGGAATATTTACACAAGTCTTAGGGAAAAATCAATTCGTTCCATGAAAAAAGGCCATTCATGGAAGTGACAGCTTAATTGAGCAGGTTTCACTGTATTTGTGAAGAGAAAGGTGAACTTACATTTAGCACTTAATTTACATGCTCTCCATGCACAACTATAAGACATTTACAAAAAGTACTGAGATAAAATTTTGAACGGAAGATGAAAAAGCTTCCTTTTTATTTGAAAAATTAATTTGGTTCAAGCAACACTGCACAGGCAAATCCGGTACAGTGTATATGAAGATCATAGGTCACAAACAGAACAAACGAGGATGCAGAAATACATACAGCAAAAGTTTCTGTAAATGATCCTATACCAAGAAATAATGTTATCCTGGCAAAGAGCCTTGGCATTATTGTAATGTACAAGTTTGCATCTCTTTTTCAGTAAAATATCACATCTGATGTATCAATTAGGTTTCACAATTATGTTAAAGCAATTTGACCATCTTATCATTGATTTAAATGCAAAGAAACAAAGTATTTTATTTTTTGTATGTAGATATATTACAAGGACCATCATGTACAACTTTTGACAGTAATTTTTGCATAATACTTTGGTAATTAAAGTTAACCTATGTCCATGTGTATGCCCTCACACATAAAAAGTAACCTTTATATGTTAATAAATGTGAAATGTGAAAGATAGTGAAATTCACGATGATAGCTGAGAGAAAAAGTTATGACATACTGGGCAAAAAACATAACTGATATTTTAATATTTGAATGATCAAATACAATTGTGTCATAAAATTTCAGCACAAGTTCAGTCACGAGAGTTTCATCATCAATTATATAAGTTTCCCAGTATTGAAATGTCTGCTCTTTAAAATAACATGTTTTGCAGATCTAGCTTCACATTTCTTTCTGAAGTTCTATAAGAAGTTTCAGTGTTAAAATTATACCCTCAGATAAGAAACACATTGCCGCTGCTATTTTGTCTCCAAGTATTGAAAAGATGATAGGGATATTTTATATTTTTGATGTACTAACCAATTATGGGAACTACTTAAAAAAGATATTCATGCTTTTAACAGTGAAATAATACTTTTAAGTTCCTCTGTCCACTAATTTGCTTTTAGTAAAAATTAAACCACATAAATAATAACATTCTTTTAATTCTTCCACTGAATTATTTTCCCCTCACAAATATTGAGAGAAACAAAAGAAAATCCTAAGAGGTACACAAACTATCGCATTGAGCAATTCATTAGTTCCCATCAAAATTTTGAAACAACTTTCTCCAATACCAATTGCTTTTAAGTGAATAGAATCTTACATATTTTTTTAACTTGCTGAAACTTTGAATTAACCAAATATATTTTATGAAAAATGTGAATTGAAAAAATTATGCTTAATAAGTAAGCACTTTCTTTTACTTCCATTACTACATTTACTCTTGTACAAGATTAGAACAATTTGTCACTAAGACAAAATGAACTTCAGAAAATGATACAAGATTTTTGTCCTTGTTTTTTATCTATGACAGCGATGTCTTTGATGGTTCTTTTTAATCTTTATCTTCTTTAGGCATTTACTTTGTCTTGGAACACTTTCATCTAGATCTTCCAATAATACTTTCCAATTTCAATCCATCCATTCATCAACATAGTAATTAAAAAAGTGGCAGAAATTCTTTGATCACTACCATTTGTTCAACAATACTTGTCTCTTCAACAATCCTGTTCCAAGTAAAAGTTGCATTTTTTGTACCTGTGCAATCAGTAACAGTTTGGGATTTTCTTATATTTTAGGTTTTTTACTTTATTTGAAATCCACAAAACTCTGATTTCAATTTATAAGTCAACCTATAAAACTTAAACCGAACATATATTGTTAACAACAGCTTACAAACATGGAATGATCAATAAGATACTCTGCACTAGACACTTTGCAACTGTGTATTCTAATTCTGAGATCGCAACATCATCAGCATGGTTGCTATCCATCAATCATCCTACAGCATCAATACCATCTTGACAAGATGGTAAGCTGTCAACTTAGAAAAGCTCTTCAATCTGTGCTCAAAAACTAAAGTAAAAATTATTTTAGACATAAATACTATTCATATTAGACCATTTGTGGAAAAGGTTTACTGCATTTTGAAGATCAAGATCTTCACATTTATATTCATTATCACACATTTGAACTGTCTACAATTTCACATATACTAGAACTGCTTATTTTCATTTCTTCATGTTTTTACCAGTTTCGGTTTCTATCTGCTGTTGCCTTAAAAAGAAATCATGTGGTGACAGATCAGTGGATCATTCTTCTAGGCAATACTAGATGTATAAGTCATCCTTAAGTCTTGGAGTGTAACTATAGCAAACATGGGAAAACATCTTCCACTGACTTGCAAATGGCTGCCTTGCAACATCGCAATTCCAAAGAGGGGTCAATATTGACATATTTGAATGGTCTATGTAAATATTAAAAGGAAAAAAATGTTTGTTTTTTAACTATCCAATGTCAAACTAAACGAAGTCCACTAAATACTACTGCTGAAGAAAAAACTTGAAGAAGCTGAGTGGCTGAAATAAGGTTAAGCAAGTTCTCACTGACAAATCAGTTATAATTCAGTTTTACCCACATTCAAGATCTCATTAATTCATCTTATTAACATAACCTCCATATAACAATTTTACCTTTTGCAACTTCTTTAGAATTTAAAGCAAGGTATTATTTCTCCAAAAAAAGCTGAACAAAATTTATCTTCTTTCCAGCGAGTGTTCTTAACATTTCTTCCTCTTGGGTAGTATTCACCCCATATCTCACAGTACTCTTAGTCAGACAAGGAAAAATTTTTTAATGGAGTCTTATGGGCTGAGGAGGCGTTCCTGCCTTGATTGAGCAGACATCTAGAGAAGTCTCTTTCAACTTATTTATTTATTTGTTTATTTGTTTATTTATTTATTTATTTATTTATTTATTTATTTATTAGGGTTTTGGGGCCCTTCATCTACTAAGCTCATTGAAGTCAATGAGAGATGGTCTAATGAGCTGATGAGAGCAATAATGCATATGAAGTGAATGATTATGGAGCAATGGTGACTCAAGAGGCAGGAGAAACAAGAGAACCTGAGCCCATGCTGCGAGCTCACTTTGTCGACCACAAATTTCACATAGATTGGCTGAAGATTGAACTCGCGCCTCAGCAGTGGAAGGAGTTTGCACTAGTTGTTATAATATTAGTCATCCCATGTCTCTTCACTAAATCAAAGCATCATTAGGCGACGAGTCAAGAATAGAGGCTGGCTCATAGTGTAATCTTACAATGTGGGCTGGCAGAAGCCTGCGTGAAGGGAAAAACCAAATTGACAAATCTTTTCCCGTCGCAAGTCAACTTCTAAAATCTAATTTGTCATATTTGAGTAAGTTTTATTTGAAACAGTTTATGCAAGACTTCTTTCCTCCTCTTTAGAAACATGCACAAGCTGCCACCGCTTTCATCTCTGAATATCACTTCTAGCTGTACATTCCAGCGTTTTAATTTAAATACTGTATCAGTCATTTGAATTATTTTAATATAAAAGGAACTGATGTTGGATTTTACCACTGAAGTACAGAAAAAAGACAAAACCAGAATCTCAACTTGTATGCATGAAAACGAAGTGCCACAACCACAACTAAATTTTGGGATTACATTCAAAACTCACTGGAAATAGTACATTTAAATGATGAGATAATTTACCATCAGAAATACTGAAATATTTGAAGAGCACTATAAAAATCAGAATGGCAATGATAATGAAAGCAGCTTTATAGAAAAGGTTTCATCATATTTCCATGGATATATCCATAAAATAATCTTTTAATCTATGTTATATTCAACAACAAAAGAGAGCATCTTGCATTTATAGTACCTATCTCAGGTTAACTTCATTATGTCTCAAACAAACTTATACAGGATTGAAAGGTTTTGCTGAAGCGGATTCTACCTCACTATGTACATCTACAGTTGCATTGAGAAGGCTGTTTCTTATATGATTACTTTGCCTAGGTAATGTGGCAAAACCACTAGTATGAAATGACTTGCCAACTGTCTTGGAAAGCGTTTGTTCTTGAGAATTGCTACTATTTTCTGATTCACTATTATAACGACGTTTTGAAATAAGTGTAGCAGGGTCAAGTGTTACCTCTCCGCTGTTTCCTCCATGTTTATGAGATATATTTGTAACAGGTCCATGATGTGCTAAAGAAGGGCTATTAAGTTTCACATTATTACTCAGAGTTTCACATTCAACATGAATTTCAGATATATTTGCTCGAGGCTGAGATTTCCCATCCGATGGTAACAGAGAGTCAAGAACTGCTTTGGAAGTAATAGGTGGCCATGATCGATCTTGTTTCAATCGAAAATCAACTGCTAAGAATTTTCGTCGTGATTTATCAACATTATGAAACTTATAGCGCAACTTTTGGAAGACCAAGTAATCAACTATACCATCTTCTATTATGAAAGCAAGCAAAAGATTACCAAAACTGAATGCTAGCATGACAAGACGAAAATCCATTACTGGTGGTAACTTAAGTTCAAATGTATCTTGCAACCAACTAAAAGGCTTCACAGTCAAATAAATAGTAAATGCTGTAAGTATAACTAATGATGACAAGAAACCATAATTGTTAAATACTGATTTACGGTACGGTGCACCTTTTGAGAATACAAGAGCTAATATAATGTACTGCATACTTGAAACACTAAATAATGCATAATTTTCATAACAAGCAACACTTTCACTTTCTCCTTTGGCAGTTGCATTGAAGGGCTCAAACCATGAAGTCTGTTGAACACTGTAAAATGAGCCCCACTGAATCATGATTACAACAAAAAGTTGCAACAACAAAGAAAGAATAGGTGAGAGAGAGATCAAAGATAGTATTGGAGGTTGTTTAACCAATGGACCTTCAAACGCTTCAGTTCTTCCAAAGAAAAATGCAAAAACTGTTATTATAAAAAGATCAATGTACAAAAACTCAATGTCAGTAAGATTACTGTCTATGGAATATAGCATCATTACAGTGACAAACTGTGTCATACTATATGCTGCCATATATTTGAAAATACCAAAAGATGTGACTAATGCAGCTCGTCCTTCACGAATAACACGAGGAACACACGATATATTTGGCTCTTTTGATGTGAAAGGTGATGCTACTGATGCTTCTGCTTCAGAAAGAGAGATACCTGCATGAGCTGCCTTTAATGCCCCACAGTCATTGGCCCCATCACCACACATAGCTGAAGCAAAATATTTGTAGTTGAATTCATCACAAATTAAATTTTGTAGCAATAGAAATGCTTATTCAAAAAACAAGGAAAATTCAATGTTCTTCTGTAAAACCACTTACCGACATAGTACCCTAGTGCTTGAAGTTCCTGAATCAACTGCTGCTTTTGATCAGGGCTCATTCGAGCAAAGACTGCTCCTCTAGTAGCAAGTTTTGGAACAAGCTCAGGATAAGAACTTTTAGCCAAAGACCATGTTCGCCCAGTCAATGCTAAGCAGTAATTGGAAGAATTGACATGGCCAGCAACAGTGTTCTTAGAATCTTCACTTACCATGCCTGTAAGTGTACCATTCACAGTAGCAGATTCCAGAGTTTCAAAATTGGAAATCCCATTGGTGAGATCAATGCTACCACCATTTGCATTCTGTTAAAAATGACAAACAACAATAACATACTTCAGAATATGTTCATTGACAAGAAAATATTAAATAAGAATGTAATAATGTTACGTTTGCACATTCTTACAATACCATATGAAACTTGAAAAGGGAACAAGAAACCACATCATTGGTAATTTCAGTATTTTCAATGAAGAAACAAAGAAAAAACTAATTCACAGACATAGCTACCTACAGATAAATAATTGAAGGATGAAATGCATAACTAAGTAACTATGCATAAAGAGACAATTTCATTTGAAAAATACTTACAACTATAGGTGGAGGAATGCTGTAGTTTGAATTTGTGAACATTAGCTGTGCTAACTGATTTGCCTGTGCTGGGACACTATGGACTTCTATCACTTGTTGACCATGAGAAATGATACCACAGTCTCGAGCAACACTTAAGGCTGTAAGCATGTTATCACCTGGAGAAAATGATCAGAGCCATTAGCTTACTTTAAACAAATTAAAGTCATTCCATGCAATCCTGGACAGATGCTAAATCCCAAGATGTATGCTGAAAAGAGACCTATACATTTTTATTATACCTGAAAATGATTATCTTTGAAGTGAAAATTGTTGAAAGTTTTTCAATTTTCTCCCAAGATATTTTGTTTTTAAAACAACAATAAAGGTTTCTTTTATTCAACATATCTTCAAAATGGCTTCTTTTTCTAACAAAGTGATGGAAAAAAATTTATTTATATATATATATAAATAAATTTTTTTCCCATCACTTTCCATCACTTCCACATTATATACTATATATTATATAGTATATAGTTAATATAATATATATATATATAATATATATATATATATATAGATATTGATTTATATATATATAATATAATATGGAGGCCGCCCACATCCCTTGCACCATTAAAAACTTGTTATTTTGTTTAAAAGAGTTTAGGATGCAAATGATGAAATAGCTCAAAATTGCCTTTCAGCTGCCTTTATAATTACAATAACTATACTAGGATTTATTTAACCATGCACTTGACATAAATCAGCTGTTCACGATTTCATTCGATATTCGCCTTGTGTTCACCTCCGGGGCTTCTCAGATAGTATTAGCAATTGACTTTTCCAGAGAGGTGGCAGCCCTAATGCGAGGTGAAGCCACTCGCTCACTTGTCATAGCCTGTGTTACACAAGCACAAGTGCATAGTCCAAAATTACTACAAATTAACTAATTACAAAAAACTAAATGACAAAGAGTATCCAATTTTGGCACATTCAGTCTATACATTACATATGGGACAAAGTACTGGCATACTAGCAACAACGACTGAATCACTGTGTGTGCAGGCACTGGTACAAAACCATTTTTACAGAGACACGCCAATTATTACATAAAAAAGACAACTACCTAATACCACAAAACAATTATCTAGCCTCCTTTTCAACTGAAGCAAATGTGAAATAACTAGCAGCTACCTAAAACACAAATTTAAGACATAATTTTGATCATAATCAAAACATTAAAGTTAAAGTTAAAACAAAAATTAAAGTTATACATTTTTTCAATTATCTTCCTGTGCGAAAGATTATTGAATTACCATAAAAAAGACTAAATAATAGGATAAACATCAAAAGGTGCAATTTACCTGTTACCATAATAGTGCGGATATTTGCTTCTCTAAGCATTGTGATTATCCCAGTTGTTTCAGGCTTCAGACGATTCTCCATGATTATAAGACCCAAAAAAATTAGATTAGATTCCACATCTTCACGAGCAATTCGCTGCACTTTTGTGTAAGTCACTTTGGGTAGTCCTTTGTAGGCTATTGCAAGTACACGATATCCTTCCTGAGTATATTCTTCCAAAACAGAACTATAGTCCAAAGGAACTGAAAAGATCAATAATGTAAAGCATTAATACATAAAACACATTGCATATGAAGTATCTTGTACAACTACACAAATAACGTACTTGAATCAGGATGGGAAAGTGAAACAATCATTTCAGGAGACCCCTTGCAGTATACATTGAACTGAGTATCTCCCAACTTTCTAGTAATAACACTCATCCTCTGAATACTGGACGAAAAAGGGAACTGTCGAACTATTCCTATTTCAAGTGGCGTCTGAAACTAAAATAATGAACTGTAAGACTCACATCTGCACACATGTACATTCCCAAACATGCCACATACAAAATAAAAACTATTGAAAACCTAGATAAAACTATTGAGAAAAACTGGAAAAATTAAACAAAATCAATAGATATGTAGAAACAAAAATACTTCACAAACAGGAATGAATAAGTAACTAGTGAAGCTACAGCAGCACATACTTTCTCACACTTACATATTATATAATGTCATCAACGCCCTCCATTTGAGTTTCCTATTTTGTTATTTCCTAATCGTTTCATTTCGAATTTTGTCCCTTCTCGTTACTCCTAACACTGCCCTTAGAAACTTCATCTGAGGTTCTTCTATGCTTCTAGTTTCCTTTATGCCCATTATCCACATTTCTGAAACGAGATGTCTCTTCTATTATTCCATTGTTTCTATTATATTTTTGTATTTCACCCTGATTCTATATCCTTCTGATTCAATCTGATTGAATTTCTGATATCTTTTAAAGTGTAACTTTTTCAATTATTGAATTTTCTACTATTTTGACTAAGATGTTCTTTACCATAGAAGGCTCGGTTTTAGTTTTCTGGCTTGATATTTTCATTTGGTATTCTTTGCTTATTTTGCTTAATTTGAAGGCTGCTTTCTGTAGGGTGTCTTCTGAGTCTGTTGTTGTAATTTGGTCTTCTGCGAATAATATTGTCACAAATTTCTGGTTGTTTGTTATCTTTGTTCCTGCTAAAGTTTTCCATTTCCATGTTTTTGTCATGTGATTTTATTAAAAGTCAGAGAAGTGGTGACAGTGTGCTTTCTTGACTTAGATCTTTGTCGATCTTCATCTGTTGTGCTTTGGGCATTTTTAAGAACTCTTTGGGAATCTTGGTACAGGCTCTGTATATTTTTGATAATATGTTCTGGTACTGTTTCTTCTTTCCGAATTTCCCATAACTTCTGGCTATTCACATTGTCACAGGCCTTTTCATGGTCAATGAACAGTATATATGTTGGTAAATTATGTTCTTTCCTTTTTTCTATAATCTGTTGGAGTGTGAATATTGCATCTATTGTACTTCTCCCCTTGTGAGAAGTACACCATTATATTATGTACCTAGCAAAAGTACAATATTATATTTTGTAAATATTAAAATAACTCGAGAAAGTACAAGCTGCTGAAGCTAGTGGGCAGTGAGGTGAGGTCAGAGAGGAAGTGAAGAAAGATATTGGTTGAGGCATTCTGGCAGAAGTAGTGGAGGTGAGTGGCATTAACAGTGGCACCATAATAGGTTTATTTTGTGGAATGGTGAAGAACTTCACTGCATTGAGAACTGTGATCCAACCTGCAATTCAGTATCAAAAAATTTGAAACTTCAAGGATAGTATAAATCATAATCTGGAGATATCGTGTGGGAGGCAGGATGCAGGCATCGGCTTGGATCCTGATTACGCACTGAGTCATGTGTCCTGTGGAAGGTCCCTCAAACAGGGTCCCATGGCGAGGAGAAGTCCAGGTCAATGAGAATTGCCGCAGGCTTGATAGAAGGATTGTGCAAAATGTGTTCAAATGGCCTGCACTTTTCTTAATATACCCTTGTGAGTGATAATGTGAACAAAGAAAGAATATTTTCTGTTTGAACTTCTGATGATTATACAAAAAATATACACAAGTAGAATACTAATACTGTTAAGTATATTTCTTTTCCTCTTATTTGGTAAATAAATATATTTTAAGTAAATTGCTCTTTGTTTACATTAATATGTACAAGGGTGTGTGAAAAGGTCACGGAGTCTTAGTTTTGAGAAATTTCTTAGAACTAATTTTTTCTCTCTCTTGAATTATGTCAGAGGAACATTTCAAAAAGAAAAAGGTTGCTCTCAACTAATGGTTTTACATTGTGAATTGACAATCATATTTATTTCATTTCATTTTAATTGTGTAAGGGCAAGGATACTGTGTTTCTTATTATGTTAATTGAAATGCATTGCATTGTTGATTTTCCCAGAAGTTATGACTCTTTAAATTTATGTACTGATTGGGAAGGTTGTTAAAAACAAAACTATTACAAGATTTTAGCGTGAGGATTTAATAGGTTTTTTTGATGTTTCAATACACGAGATCATCGCTCAAAAAATAGTGGTGACATATAGCACATAGTTTCTCGCCTGTATTTTCACGCAAAATTAGGCCATAATTACTCAAATTTTCGAAAGATTATACAGGACCTTATTTCAAAATCAATCTTAATGGAACAGATGACATTAAGGGGAAAATCTCTATCTTTAATATTTTAGTTGTAGGAAGATTCCAAAAAATTTTGAACTTCTGCAAATTTTCAAAAAATTAGGGTTTTCAACGAACATGAGATCTGCACCATTCTCTTAAACGTCCAAATGGACAGATGGTTGTTTTGCTGTCATTCGATTTTTTGGCATCAATGAGCAACGAAACATTGATTCCGGCTACACCACGTGTTGGATAATTTTTTAAAAAATATAGCAACTGGATTTATTCACTTTTTTGTTATCAGGGCCCTATAATAAGTTTTCTGCAGAAAATTCACCACTTTTTCACGCAGCATTGTATAAGTTTCTCTCTACTACATAGTGAGAAAGTAACAACATGGCTCGAGTCTGTCTTATCAATTTGACTCCCCCAAACATGCATATTGGCTCTACCCTCTTGTGTTTAGAACACACGAGTTGTGATCAACTTGATGTCTTGACACATCCACAGACAGCAATGCACTGGCAAGGAACCTAAACTATTACACTATGTATGTACTAAGTACATAAAAGATCATGATTAAGCACAAAGAGATTGGAGCAGGAGAACAAGTAGCAAGTGTGGAGCTCTCCAAAATAAGTGCCAGTAAAACAGTTTGATGTTTAATTAAATTTATTGTGAAAAGTTATTTTCATATAAGTTTATACTGCCTGTTAAAGAAATTATAATGTTTTTTTTTTTTACCCTTTCTGACCTTAAGCATCCAACTAGGAAAGCTTCCTTCCCATCTATAGCACCTTGCCCACTCACCATTATTTACACCATCTAGCACTGATTTTGCAATCAGCACAATTTTCCCAATTGTTTCACCAAACACTAGCATGAGATGGAAATGAAAAAATTCACATTGAAAGAAGTAAGCATTCTACATCCAACCATGAAGGCAAGAATATTTTAAAAAATTCAAAACATTTCTAAACATTAGTGACTTTGCTCTCTCCCATGGCACCTTTGGAACAGAGGTATTTACAGATGAAAGAGTAAGAAGCAAATTCAAAGTGCAAAACCTACAGGGTAGGGAGGCTCAAAAGTCGGAGTACAACCTGGCATGGGATAGGGACCAGAAAGAAAACAATTACACATGCGAAAATGAAGATGAATTGGCAAAACGATTTTAAGAAGCAAGAAAATAGTGATAGCTCAATCAAAATGTTTTAATATTCTCAAAACAAATTTTTTAGAAAATTAGACTACTTAGTTAAAAATTTTAAAAATTCTCAGGATGGCTCTTCAAAATCAGAAGTTCATCTTAAATCGGCTCCACACATTCAGCATTTGCTGAGCAGCGAGCTACTGCTCGCCCAATCCCGAACAGCTAATGTGTTCGGTGAATGTTTGCTCCCTTTGAGGTGTCCTAGAGACCAACACACAGTGGGTAGGTCAAGTTCCAAATGTTCGACGCTCTACGAATTGCAAACAACCCGTCCACACTACTCGGGATTCGGCAAGCAGTTGCTTAGGATTCGCCGAATGCCGCATGTGTGGTGCCACCTTTATATTCGGGTAAATACAGTATGTACGAAAATAAAATCAAATAGAATAAGAAGGAAAATGTAGAACATGATTTATTCTAAGATTCTTAGGAAAGCATAGAGAATGGCAAAGAGTGTATGGAACAGAAAGAGAACATACAAAGTGATACAAAGAAGACGTGCTGAAACAATGAAAAGTTACACACATACGCAATAGAATAAAAAAAAATTTTTATTGTATTGTGCCACAATTTTTTTTATTGTGCAAATACCTCTTCAACTTGTAGAGTATCACCACAAGACAGATTTTCACTTCCATTACTGTGAGCTGGAAAACTATTAGGTGGTTTAACAACCGTAGGAAAAATCATGTCAAACTTAGAATTATCATTTACTTCTGGTTCTTCTAAGATCCATCCAGTAGATTCAAACATCTGATAAGAAAAAAAGAGACATTTAATTACAAAAATGAACACAACACAAGGGTTTCACAACCATAACAGACCAAGCCCACTTTTTTTTAAAATTGTAATTATGTGATTAAATGGTAAAGGTTTTGTTCCCTGCCATAATGAACTAAATTCTTAGTTCTCGCACTGGCACAGTGTGTTTGTTTTTATTTTCTTACTCCCCTGGAATTGATTATGTGTTTAAAATTTTGAAGCTCAATTTCTCAAAGCCATGCCAAATGGACTTCGTCTGTTTTGGCTGCGAACACCTCATATTTTAGGTTTGTTTCCCAATGATCACAGATGTACACTACACATATACTCCAAATCATCCTGATATACTTCTATAGTTATAAACATTATGGAATACAAGAGTCCTATTTATAGATCTCAAAATGAATATAATGATCTACAGTGTAAATTATATTTGATTGAATACCCATCACAGACAGAGGGAAATTGATAGTATAGTAAAGGTTCCATGGCAGAAAATCATTCAATTATTTAAAGTGTAAGGTGAACAACTGACCTTCAAATCCAAGGGATCACCTGACAACTTTCCATCAATAATTGTCAATGAATGACAAGTCACCATACCAATAAGTAATTCATCACCTTCCATTTTATCAATATACTTGATAGGCACTTGAAATTTCTTGTCGAGTGAAGGAACTACACCCCACATATCCAGGCCATCTTCAGTTAATGTGCCAGTCTATATATACATAACAAACAGAACAAAGAGAAATTAAAACTAGTGGTGTTATCACATAGTTTACAGTACATATGCATTCTCCCGTTGTAAGTCATGAACTATTGTAATAGCTAAACCTCCAAAAGTGTTTCAAAACCACAAAAATATTTGCCTAGACTGGGATTTGAACTTGATAGCTTAGGCTCTCTGAAGCTTTTATCTGTTACACCATCGTTAGGTATGCACATGCACTCGATGCATCAAAAAGAAAGTTGACCTTCAGCAATTTTCAAAATTTTAGAGGTTTTAATGAAAATTGGACCTAAGCCATATTATTAACTGAAAGAAGCTCTTTTCAAGCAAAAAATGTAAAGAATTTTTTTTTCAGAAAAGCTCATTTATGTATTTTTTTTTTAATTGTCACAATTTCACTTTAAATAATGAAATTTTAAAAAATTGAAGTAGTTTTCATGTAATTTTAAGGTCTAATTTGGAAGAAGAGACTTAAGAAACAACCTCTATCTTAGAGTTGTAGGAGGGAGTTAAAAAAATTTTACTGAGAGGTGCTTTGGGTTGCCAAAATTTAATGTGGCTGGCTAAAATTTAAACTCAACTATGTCAAGGAAAAAAAAAAAAAAAAAAAAAAATTAGAAAATGAAACATTAATTTAGTAAAGCAATTTCAAGTCAGTCACAGTCAAAATATGTACAAAATGATTTTAGTAAAATTATTTTATTTTCATTGTGGAAGAAATGAAAAATCCGTTACAATTTTCATGAATCTTAAACTTCATCTATGTATTAACCCTCAATATCATGAATTAGGCTATAAACATGTTCTTAAGAGATAAGACGATCAACATGTTATTAATAGATTGAATTTTGTCATTGTGGTTGTTTGATAGTACCAGATTGTGTGCGACAAGGCAAGTCTCATGCCACAATGCAATATGGCCACAATCTAATGCATCGCTTTGAACAGGAAAGTCCAACTCCAATTTTGCTTAGAGGCATCTTTTGGTTTGGGGCTCATTTATATGCTATAAATGTGTAGAGACGGAATGCTTTACTTCTCTTCTGAAGGAAAGCTTTTGAATACAAGATTTACAATATTACACAGATTAAAACTATTAAAAAGGTCAAATCATTTATTTTTAATAGATGGAAGTAATTTTATTACACATTAATTTTTGAAAGAAACTGAACCACTGATCACTGGCAGAAAAGTATATTTTCTGAAACATGATTTAATTGTTTAGAAGTGGGTGTCTAAACACGTATAGCACATGCCAATCTTGAAGTCATATGTATCCGCGTCCAGAGTCATGTGCGAGATCTGGGCTGTTCGGGTGACGCCGCGTCGAAGGCTGTGTTGCCGACGTTTCGACCATCTTGTCGTGGTCTTCCTCAGGGTATGGTATCAGCCCTGAGGAAGGCCACGACAAGATGGTCAAAACGTCTGCAACACAGCCTTCATCGCGGCGTTACCCGGTCAGCCCAGATCACGCACACGCCAATCTTCTACGTGGTTGACATTCATGGCAACACTGCCAAATGTCCCAGCAACAAGTAATATCAGAAGTTTCTCTGATGATGCATTCCAGGGCCTTGCAACTCTCCAAAACAAGGGACAAAGCTCAAGGGTGCTACTTTAGGAGGCACTAGTGTCATCAGGTTCAGCTACAGGCTAAGCTCGCCAACTTCCGCACATAAAAATTGGCTAATTTGTAAGAAATAGGAAAAGTGTCTTTTAAATGTTCAATTATTTATAATATACACATAAGAAACCCCTGGAGAAAGCTCGAATATCAGCGCTATCTTTTGTAACATTAAGAGCCTGTTTGCGACCCGTGAACTCGTGCAGCAACCACGCACGTTTTAAGTATCGTAGGCAGCAGTGCACGTTTTAGTTCCTGTAAGAAGGTGCTGCAGCAGAGCATGCCATCATAATGGTTTCCACCATGTTATATGGGAGTTAAAAGGCTCTGATGCAATCTATCCTATTTGTCCCTAACTAGAAAATAATGAAGGGGATAGAGCAAAATTAATTTTGCAGTGCAGCACGTGCACATACAGTGAACACTTGGCAAGCATGGTAGAATGCAGGAACACTGCCTTCTCCTTAGGCAAAATTGTCAAGCACAAAAAGAATTGGTATGCGATATAAATGAAGAATCACAACGACCATGACTCAATACTGGCTCCAATTTATAGGTACATGTACGATAAGCCCAGGTCAATGGATTTTCAAGGGTGAACATATCATACTTGAAACATTTTTCCTTACTACACTTTGACTAATGCCTTGCAAATTAAATCCTCAGACAAACACCATTTTAATGAGGTTATCAAATTCTAACAATTCAAATTAAAGAGAAATTGTACATAATTTGTTTTAATTAATATTATAACTGTCAAATTGCAACAAGACTGGCATATTGTTTCTTACAAAATTTTTTACAAAAGTCAAATTTTAGTCAAGGGCCATAACTTTTCTTTCTACTGAGTTGTCCCTCAAACAATTAAAATTACAGTGTAACTTGTTAGCAAGAGTATGAACATTCATCTATAACCTTAAGTCTAATCTCCTTAATGCAGTGACGTATCGTGTTAAGGTTCACAAGAGCATGAGCACCCCCATTAATTCAAGCACTTGTGAATATACCTTAAAATATTATTATTCACCACAGCAGAATATAGAATTTTATTAGCAAGCTATTTAAACTTTCCACTAATCAACAAACGTCTTTTCTTCTTGCATATGAGAGTGATCTTTTGCCTGGTGTGGTGGGCTCTGTTCGAGGCTTTTCTGTACATGCGCCAGGAGAGCGACATCATTCCTTATGGGGCATTACCACAAATCTCGCCCTGTGGTGCAGTTACTTGTGTCCTCAGCTACAAGATTCAGTAGCAGCACTGCCACAATGGAAAGAGTGATGCAAAGGAGGAAACTCTTACAAAGAAAGTCAGTTTGGTGAACAAGTGCATGTAGATGAGTGGCACCCTGCACTGATGCTGCTGAAGCGAACACTTTTGATGTTTTGAGTCTCTTGTGTTAAATTTATTTGTATTAGTAAAGTTTATTTACAGTCTATTCAATTCGAAAATCTAAATAGTACATTTTTATTGACAATGAATTTGTTGGAAGAGTTACTTTCAAAATATCTAAACTATGAAGATGAACTTGAAATTCAAAACTCAGAATCTCACAAATCTCCACTTAATAGTGTAAAAGAAATAAAAACTGGGAAATGTTCGATAAATTCACAAATATTCACAAAAATATAAGCGGCTATACAGATAATTAAAAAGAAAAGCTGTTTTGTTTTCCAAGCTCACTAAAAATAAAGATGTCCTGTATGGATTAAATAAAGATACAAAGATTGAATAACTTTAGTGAAAAAAATCAAGAAGCATGACCAATCACACAGCCACACGAATGCATGCATAGAATGGATTGAAAATTAGTTTTAACTAGAACATTGCATCCAATTTTGGCAATGATGAAACTGGACCATCTGATAATCTTCTAAGGTTCATGGATTTTCTGAGTGCTATAGATAGTGCAGCAGAAGAACACGCCAGTAAAATATGATTTCAATCCACTTTTTCAGAAGTTAAAAGCTTAACTTTTTGTCTATTTCTGGCCTAATATACATCTCTGATTCTGACATATCACAAACTTTTAAGTGAATACACAATTTTTCTATGCAGGAGCCGCTACTGCCTTCATGTATCTCGATTCTATGATGCAAGTCATTCACAACAAGTGATTCCACAATGCAATTATTCAGCAGCCCATCACACACTTGTGTAAAAATAATCTGCTGTTATAGCATGTGACACACTTGTGGCCCAAATGTAGAATGTCATGCATGGCAGAATAGTTCATAATAAAAATTAACCAATGTGTACAATACTGTACTGTTACTTGAACAATATTTCTCTCAAACGTTTCAAAATAACTTTATAACAAGATGTATTTTGACATTTTTTAATGTCTGTAATAGTTCAGATCAATATTATTCATATCTTGAATTTTATTTTCTAAATATTTACAATTTTTAATACTAATATTAGTTGTAAATGAGTTGAAATTTATACAAATTTTTTGACGATTTTCCACTTCCTTTCACTGTGAATGATTTACACTCATGAACTAGAAGAAACTTACCTTATCAAAACAAACACAATCAATAGAACCAGAAACATTGATAGTCCTTGGACTTATACAATATACTTTCTTTGATCTAAGTCTATTTTGAGCATAAAAACGTCCAACAGTCATAGCAGCAGGAAGAGCTGGAGGTACAACAATAGTGATCAAGTCCAATGCTTCTAATGCAATTTCAGAAACACTTATTCCTCGTAAATGCTGGAAAGATAATTGTTATTTTAGTAAGAAAAATTAGAATTCCCCCCAAAACTCAAATATCATTTGCACTAATAAAAAAAGTGAATTTAAATTTTAAATTGTTTGCAAGACAAATACGTACCTTTGTAACCACAGTATATATAAAACCAATACTTGCAATACATGCAAGAAGTTCAACAAATTTGTATGAATCATGTTCAAATTTAAAATCAACTGGAGGAGGGTACATAATTGACCTAACAAGACTGCCCTTGGCAGTTGAGAATCCTGTTCTGATGACAACTGCAAGCACTTGTTCACTTCCAAAGTACCTAGTTTGAATAATGCGGGTGCCACAAAATAAAGTATGTCTAGCATGTTCTTTGGAGTCGTACAGAACATCACGTAAGTTGGGCAGTGGGGTTTTTGTTACTGGCACACTTTCACCTAAACAGAAAGAAAATACCATTTAGATTGTCATAATTAGTGGATTAAAATTACAAGATACTTTGTATTGGGCAAAAATATACAGAATTGTTTTGTATTATCTTACTAAGTCAATATAACACAATATTGGTATAAACAACCTTGGAATACAGGCATTGTCAGTAATAGCTCTACCAGTATATGCACCAAAAAAAAAAAAAATTATATGGTCTCAGCAACCCAGTGAAGTAGTGCCCTTTCATACAGTATTCAATGTAAATTTATTTATGTATCAAATTTCAAAGTTCAGTCTTGCTGCTACTAGATAGCAATTCACAAGTCATGACTCTTTGGAGGTTTATTCAACCAAGTAAATTTGCTGAGGAAATCCAAAAAGCTTCTTTTATATGCCAGGTACCTTATAACATACATGTCATCAATTTTCAAATCTGAAAAATACATCAGTTTTGGCTGAGAATTGACCCTGCTTGCTTAAGATCAAGCACACTACCAGGTGAACCATGACCAAGAAGCAATTTTTTTTTTTTCTTTTCTTTTTCCTCCCAGAAATTTTCTAATTCTAAAATTTCAAATTTTACAATGTACCAGTAAACAATGTTCTGGACTCATTTTCTGAAAATGTTTGAATATATGATTGATATTACAAAAACATTTCGTTCATTGATTTATTTGTAAATGTTGCACTCCTACCAATCAATAGCATGATTTCTTGCATTGGAAATCCAAAGCTTAGCTAATCAAGCATTCACATATGGAAAAATGCTACTACAGTAGATTCATGTAATATGAAGTACAATATAAGAAAATATTTATACTTATAGACATGAATTATATTTTGAGAAAAAAAAGTAGAAGTATAACTTCTATGCCAAAATTTTATTTATTTTGCAAAAGTTTGAATTTCTTTAAAGTGAAATTATTGTACATAACACTCAAGTGAAATGGTGGGAACTAAAAAATATTTTCTGAAACTGAAATTTTCATTATATTGGTGTTGATTTTATCATTTTAGTGTTTATCATTAATGTACCTACAAAAAAATATCAGGAGTGATTTTAAAGATCTGGATACTTTACCTGTGAGCATACTTTCATTAAGAATGCAATTTCCAGTAAGCAATACTGCATCACAGTGCATAATGCAGCCATGTGGAGGTACCACAAGTAAATCACCAGGAACTAAATGCTCAGTTGGAATAGTTTCCACTGTTCCATTTGATCCACGAATTACTGTTGCTACATCAGAAGAGTGGACTGTACTGCTCAAATTGCGTTGGTTCTAGAATGTGGAAAAATGAGAAAATACAACAAGAAAAATGTTCTCGTACACTTTTCAAGGTTATTATGCATTATTTTATATCAATAACCCTAACATCATATCATCCAATTAGCATTATCCTTAAACCAATTTCATAAATATTGCAGTTGAGTTCATAAGTATTAAACAAAAATTAATTCTTTTTCTATCATATTTTCTTCTCAAATGTTGATAAATGAAGAGAAAATTATGGCCCTGGTTTGTTTAGTAGAGTAAGCATAGCGCTGACTGAGAAAATGGCAAAATATAGATATCATGAAATTTGGGAGGTTTCAATTGATAATACTGTTATACCAGAGGAAATATTTGCAGTTTGAATTTAAATAAACATTCTGACAATTTATTAATTTGTCATGATTAAGGGTTTAAGAAACCCAAATTATTAGTTGTTTCTTTAATGCTTCTTTGAGTGGCAAACAGATTAAAAAAAACCACAGCATTAGCTTTAAAAATTTAATAGAACTCTACTTCATTGTCATATATACACATTCTTTTTATAATCCCTTTGCTTTCCCTGTATACATATTACCGCATTTACCTGAATATAAGCAAACTGAATACACGACCACCCCCCTAATATTGAGGGGGCCTCATGAAAATTTGAAAAATTTTGAACAAATTCTTCCCATTTAGTCAAAATAACACCGCAAATTGTCTAATTGACTAGAAAATTGCCTAGTTAAAGAGAATGTTAAGACTTATTGCCTGAACTATCATTTCACTATATACAATTCCATTTGTTTGAGATTCTATTTTTATAAGCCCATTCAAAAACATACTGGCAAACATACTGGCATAAAAAGGCACCCTGAATTGCCTGACAAATTCGCTGTGGATTCCGAGAATACGACTGCAAATATAATTACATCAACATTTACGAATTTCGTGACATGGAAAGGCAAGGTAAAAATATAAAGCCTCAATGGAAGACTAGGCTTTACAGTCTTGTTGATGGCCTCATAACTAGGCTTAATGTGTTAATATAAGATGACCCTGCATTTTACGATGCAGATATTTAGGAAAAAACCTTTTCTTATATTCAGGTAAATACAGTACTCAATTTATCACCAAGTCGGTAATACAATTAATTTATAACTAAGTTCACTTCAATATGTATTACTTTTAGTAGCAAAGCTTAAGTCAACAGGCCTGCTCTTTCACCTGACCATGCAAATTATGCTACGCCCCTTTTACCATCTAGCAGAGAAAAAAGTATAACTTGGGCAACAAAACACGTGATTTGAATTTTGCTCACAGGCTTTTTTTAGGCTTGAAGATCTTTTAGGTGCAGTAAACCTACAACATGGGACATCCAACTTTTCTTCTCATATGGAGGATTTTTCGCACTTAAAAATTCACAGCTTTAATATACCACAAACTTGGGTATAACAGTCTGATGCAGTAACCATTATATGAACAAAGCCGCATGAAACAGTTAAATTTTTGACATTTTTGGATGTAATGGACAATTACTCGGGAAGTAATCTCTGGCTTTGTATCTACTAGGGATTGAAATACAGACAAAAAGAAGTCAAACACTATAATGCTTGTGGTGATACTACCTTGTTAGCACAATTTTAGTCAACTGTAAACTGGATTTTCATTACAGAGTACACAAGCTCTTTACAACAAAACCCCAAGGATTGTGTACTTTATTTTGCTATAGAGTGTTTATATTATGGAGACGGTAACAAAGGATGAGTGTAAACCAACAAAACTGAAGTAATATCTAGATTATAGAGAATTTTCCATTGCAAAGATGTTTGTTATTGAGTCTTCACAATGTATTTCATTTATGGCCTGCCCAGACAGGTTGACAGCAATAGTGGCATAAAGTCAATTTCTGATGTATCTGTCACAATATCCTGCTCATCACCATTAAGTCACAGTCAAAAGGCACCCTGAATAATTTACACAAACTCACTCTGCAGAACAAAAACAATTTGCATTTGCAAGTGTTTTGCAAAAATACTTAAAAATTGCTATTTCTTTCAGTACTGGCAAGTAGCATTGAATTTAACCACTTAAACAACACTAAATTTGTAAATAGAAACACGCTGCTAAACACTAATGAACAGGTCCACTAAATAACATTGTAAGTTCCATATTTTCCAAATTGGAGGTTTCAATTGAATAAGGTTTTAAATATAGGGTATTCTGTTTTGACAATGTTGGATGGTAGCTCTGAGTACCATGTTCACAAAGGAAACCAGGGCTATTCTATTGGAATAACATAGTAAGCACCAAAATGTCTTCTGGCTCAAGAGCCAATCAGTATACCAGCAACCAAAAATGATGAAGAGACAGAAATAGCAACTTAAACAATAGTAGCTGGTTTAACAAGAGAAAAACCATGAAACTGGTCAAACAAAACTTTGAGCAATTTACATATTAATATTTGCCTACACATTGTATTGTACATTTTTCATATTTAAGAAATAATTAAACATTAAAAACAGTTATGATTGTTTATTTTATTATCCTATATTTAGTTCAGCAGGGGAAGAAAAAGAGAAACAAACCACTCAGGTTTGCTAAATAATGAATCCGCCAGCTACTTAAAAGGTTATTCCTTGAAAAAAGGATTAAAACAGTTTTATTAATTTCAGTAAGTTCGTCATTTACATTATTTACTGGACCCACACATTTGTCAGCCAATTTTAGTGTACTCAATCTTTAATGGTTTCATCTGTCCTTCTGGTATCTCAACCCTCTTTATACCAAAATATTAGATTAATTTGATTTATTTTTTCTCTTGCAGTTCACGTTTCACTACACATTAATTTCACTTGGAAACATTACCCAAAAGTATACTGAATTCAATTCAAACATGACAAGTCAATTTTCAATTTGCTGCAGTCAATAGATTTAATAAAATTATTAACCTGTGAGCAGCTTCTAAACAAAAATATAGATACAGTGTTCACTTCATGTCTACCACCACCCCTGAATTAAATCCGTATTATTGTTGATTCAGATTTTCGAAGTCTAAATTATTCATAATCTACTGCTGGGGTCTCCATTTTTCCTTACAAAGGGTTCAATTATTTAAATAGGAAAAGGTTGTGAGCCACCTAAATATCATCACTAAAAATCAGTATAGGAATTTCCTGAGTTTGCAAAATATATGTAATATCTAAAATTTTGGATTTGTGTGTTGGGCCAGACTAAATTGCTGCTTGGGCTGGATACACTCTTGTGAATCATAGGTTGGAGAGCCCTGCTCAACTGTTTTGAAGTAACCTTCACGTAGATGCATAAAAATGAGTCACATATGAAAACAAACAAACAAACGGGTATGTATTGTAAATCCATATATTTAAACATTTACCTTTCTGGTCTGAATGATGGCCATTGTAATACCAAATGCTGACATAGCAAGAATTGCCATTGCGTAATAAATGTAATTGTCAGCAAACCAAAGGCAGAACGAGAACAGTTGAAACACATAAAATGGGTTGAGAACTTCCAGGAAAAGTAAAGTGATCACACCTCTTACTGGAACAACAATTTCATTGCTTCCGTATACAACACGGCGTAAAAGCTGTTCTTTCACAGTCACACCTCCCTGACAATGAAGGATAGTTGTGCTGACATGGTTATCTAATCCTTGTAGCCTCAAAAATTCAGCGTTTTCTGGATCCCAAACATAGCGAAGTTTCTTGCAGTGAAACATTCGCAGAACTGGAATCTCTGTAATTAAAAAATAGAAAAAAATCAAAATTCACTGCAGTGTTAGAATTTTCTCCATTTTCATTAAATCCTTATTGAATTGGGCATTCAGCCTGTAGTTAAAGAAGAAAAAACATAAACGAAAAATCTCTCATATATACACACAGATGATAACATTTCATTATTTTTTGTTTAACACTCGGGTATCCTTTTTTAATTTTTAGATCAGGCTTGCCCAACTGTTGGCCCATGAGGCGCATCCAGTGTTATGCAGGGTACGGTCTGATATCCCACATGGTCCCCCTCATTTCAGAGCAGGCAGGCAAAGTGCCGAGATCAACAACAAGGGAAAGTCAGGTGTGGATTATTCGAGTACTAAAAATATGGCCCTTCAATCATATTAACGGTTTTAGGTGAAACCCTTGAGGCCTTGTTGCAAGTTGGACACCTCTGTTTTAGACAATCAATGTACAAGTTTTCGAAACAATGTTTAATTCTTCATGTAATGAGCCTTCATGAAATGAACATGACATTTTGCATATTTATATGCATCATTAGATGTGAATAAAATATTAATACAATTATGTCTGAAAATAAAAAAACATATTGATGATATTGTTTAAAATTAAAGTATTAAAAATAAAAATACAAGTATAAGTAAAAAATATGTAGCATGTATGTACAAAATATATATAAATAGATGGTGGATAATTTACAAAATGTGTTAAAATTAATCAAAAAATTAAAAAAAAAATTAAAGTATTAAAATAAATAAATAAAACATATGCTTATTTCCTTCCATTATATCATTTCTGATTACTGGATATTTTTATTTATAATACCTTAATTCTAAAAGGAATTTTGATAAAAATTTGTTTTTGTTTTAATACTTAATTTTGTAATATTATTAGTGACAGTTGGACTGTTTTTAAATATATTTGACCGTTTATTACTTTTACATTATTCTTAAATATTCATTTGCTTTTTACACAATCATTTATCATAATGACAATTCATTGATATCGCACAGCAAAATACCTTTGAAATGACCTCCAGAGAGATGAACTGAAAGCTTCTCCTGTGAGGCATCTCGCATGTCAGTTAAGGCTTGATCATCCCAACACCCACCTTCCAAGGTTTCAGGTTTCTTCTTCTTTCTTTCATTGCTAGAAACAAAATGTCCGAATCAAGCCACTAAAGTCACAACTGGACCCTACTATTTAGAAACCAGGAAAAAGAAAATAGTTTTTTAGTCTCAAAATAACGTGCATTCCACTAAACTGACCATCATTGAAGGATAAGAACATTTTCACAATATTTCTGAACATAAATACAAACAAAAACCTACTTTTATTAAGATGTTTTTTCAAACCATATCCCTGGCAGGAAATAAATGACTATCGGTCCTGGTAAATGGGATTTCCCAGGCAATTATGAAATAAAGAATGTTAATCAGGATGATATAAAATACATTTTAGTTTGCATTTAACTTCCTTGCCACAATCGTAAAATGTAATCACAACCACTCTTTTTCTTTCTTCCACACAGTATGACTGCTGCCACAGCCAACTAAATCATTTGGGTTTGACTCTTTCATATGCAAATTTGAATTAGTACTAATATCTGTTTGAAACTACTTGCTTCATGATTACTCTTGATTCATAGAAATTCAAAATTCTAAATTGACACAACTCATTCAACAGGTTATGTGAAACTAAAATGTCGAATTAGAAAACAATACTGATTAAAAATTTCTCCTAATTAACCTGATTATTTATGGATTTTGCGAAAACAAGAAATGCCATGTAAAAATTTAGAAAACTTCGACAACCCAATTACCAATAGGATCAATTCCTATTCCTGAATGGCTGAATCGTAACCATGTTTTCATAAATAACTGAAATGAAGTTTATCGACTGGTCATATTGACATGCAATTGTTCTCCAAGCTCTGATTGTATTGCCCCATATTCTGATGAAGTATTATAATTACAAATTCTATTATTCAAGTTCAGCATGTTCACAAGAAAAAATTCAGAAGAATAAGTTTATATTAATTTAATGTGTTCAGGAGCAGTTGACAACATTAAAAAAGATAGAGCAACAGAAGATAATCAAGTTAGAGCTAAACATACAGCCAACAACATTTGAATTCAAATTTATGATATTAAATCCAGCAGAGAAGAAAACATATGAAATAATCAAATTTTCAGAACATTTATGATCATAAAATGAACGAAAAATTGATTTTGAGTGGCAAATACAGAACACCTATTTAGGAATTTTAAGATGTAACACAGTACTTGAATTGGAAATCGTTTTAATTATATATATTTACTAATTAACTAGTTGTTAACTTGACTGTTTGTTATTTCACTTTCCCTTCCATAATTCCCTGCATAAGAGAACACAAAGCAACATTCAACTGTTTTCCTATTTACCTCGTCACCACTATCCTCTTGATCCATGTAAGTCGTAGAAAGCTTATAGTGGTAATCAAGCGTGGAAAGAAATTAATCATCAGTAAGCATTCCTACATACATCAGTAGAGGGACCACAGGTACAAAATAAATTTAAGACCGCAGAGGACGGATGTCGGTAAATGTTCTTTCACAAATCAGACGATAACGGAATGGAATAGATTGCCTGCAAAAACATTTGAACCCTTTCCTCATAGCATTCAACAGTTTACGAAATTAATTTAGGGTATTACTATGTAAATGTAGGTCTTAACTGAAAATAGTAGGTTATAGAGCGATGCCTAAGTAACATATTGTGAAGTGAGGTGTCATGCACTGTAGAACAGAGAAATAATGAAGGAAGTGATTAAAGGGTCGTAGTGAAGTGAAGTGTAGTGTGGTCTTAATTGAACAAAAATTCAGTGCGGAGTTAGATTATAGATGTTTCTTTCTTTTTTTTAAGGTAATTTAATGTTTTAGGAATTAGACAGCTTTTATATCATTACAAGTTTTATTATTATTGTTGTTATTATTATTATTATTATTATTATTATTATTATTGTCTTATCAGCTGTTTTTGTTTCTATGATGATGATGATGATGATGATGATGATCACCATCATCATCATGTAATTAGCTGCCACCAGGTTATGCCCATTTGCAGTTCCAATAAAATTTATTTAAGTTATGCAGTGAATGTGGAGCCCCATATCAAAGCCAAAAACAAGCAATAATGTACCAGTAAAAAATAATATATTTACTGTAACAAGCACTCCAACAGGCATTAAATAGTAATAGAAAATTTAAAAATTGAACAAGTTACCATCTTTTTTTTTAATTTATGAAACTCATTTGAAACAGGCACTATTGATGAAATAGACACTATGATAGCATTATCAAATAATATCTCTGATTAATGGAATTTTGAAGAACAATTAATTGATTACTTTGACAATTTCACTCATTAAATTGAGGGTGTCAGCGCAATAGTGGCCTCACCCACATTTTTAGGAAATTGGGTTCTCTGTGTTAATAATGTCTTAATCTGCTTAACTTCAACGTGTAGCAGTTTCAGCATGTTCTCATTGATATTTTTCAAGTTATAATTACAAAAGGAACTATTGCACTCAGATTATGATTACATTTCTTTGAGCAATAGTGGCCTATGCATAGGCTATGCTTTTTTACACCAGATGTAATCCCCCACAAATTTTTAGTCAGTGGTCGTTCTTACATGATCTGTGACCATGACTTTGGTCTAATTGAAAAAAATAAAAAATTCTATCCCAAAATTTTCTCACCACCTGATTAGGTAAATGTCATTGTTACGGCAAGAAAAAAAAATTAATGTTGTGTTAATATGATTTTGTATCTACAAAATCCTTAGAAAATAATACAACAAACAGAAAGATATCCCTGAGCAAACTAAAAGTGGAGTGGCTGAAAAGTGGGTAAAATTGGAAAAATCATTCCATTATTCATTGTTCTTTTTATTCGAACATTAAGGATGATGCTTTCTGGGAAGTTGATATTGCAAAACATGGCTCCAAGGAAACTACTTTTCTTGATTTACTGTATCCCAATGAACGTGCAGTTAGTGAAGAAAAGAAGAAAGATTTAATGACCATGATGGATTTTGTACCACCTATATACCATCCATTTTATATAAATTTAAAAATTTCTATAAGAGAAAGTGCAGAAATACTCCCTGTTAATGAATTTTTTTAATAAAATAAACACCTGCAATCTACTCATTTTTATTTGTTTCAATAATGGCCTAACTTTCATTTATTCCAGTTGTCTATGCAATTGGTAAGTGCAATAGTTGCCTAACCCACAAAAAAAATTGTATTTTTACTTTTTCAATATTGGCACTCTTATGAATATTAAGGTACAACACCAAAGTAATTATTTATAAAAATTCTAGCACTTATAGCACAATAAAAAACTTACAAATAAGTGTTTAATTTTGCCAATAATTAATCAGCCATTTTCTCCAAACACAGGATCTGGGGATAGATCACTATTGTGCTGACACACTCACTTAACACCACTAACATTTAACAATTACATCTAGTGTGCCCTAATCATGGCTGAATATTTTGAAAAAATTACTTTTTCCACACAATTTTTGTTCCCACTTGTACCTAATGGACAATCATAAGCTGCAATACATTTATCTTATGGAGGTAGTAGGCACAGAAAGCATGAGTTTCATTAATGTAATCAATATTAAGGAGATTTCTTAAACTCCCAAATTTCCAATGCAGTCTTGGTACAGTAAAATCTGTCTAAGGCAAAAATAAAATTTTGGTTTAAGGAGGTTTTTGTGTTTTGCAGGGTTGTCCATTTTATGACACTTGTTATATTGATATTTCCATCTTGAAACAAGTAAATCACATGACAATTAGAATTATTATTAATATATAATGTATTTATGGTTATTTATTGGTGGATTGAAATCATCAATGAATAAATATTAAACATTATTCATTGACAGCTTCTGAGCTGAGTTTCTCTTCCTTCTATAAGTTTGTCCTTTCCATCTAAGGTTAGATTTTTTTTATTTTTACAACCATTGTTAAACTGGTTCTGAAACTCCAAAAAATACACACTAGATGACAGTCTAATGGTTGCAGTTGGGCTGCTTGCTGACTACACTTTCACACTTTCAGAGTTGAGAGACAAGAGAATTCCTGTATGGCCTACGCCATAAGAGACAAGCAACCCCAAAGTCAAATTATACGCTGACAGCTGAAGTCCTCTCCACTGTGCGAATGCCACATGGATGAAGAATTTAAAATAGACTTGCAGATGCATTCATTTCATTAAGAATATCTCGCATCTCTCTGCCAATTCACCAGAATTCCGTTTTATAAGGGATTTTCCCTCTATATGACTTGAAAAAGCGTTCTGTTTCCACATTGGATAGGTTCCATTTTATGCTGTGTAATATGCCATATAACTTTATGGGCTGGAAAAATTTTCTGATTAAGGCAGGTTTCTGGCTTGTACAGGATCCAGATTAGACAGATTTTACTATATTACCTATGATAAATATTGCATTTCCTAAGAAGTGTTACTAAGTTCTTATTTCCCTATAAACCAGATATATTAAATTTTAGTGACTGTTCTACACTAACTCTTTCATGACAAGAGCTTTCAAGAATCCTTTCTTACAAATAATCTCACATCCACGGAGATGTGATAAGCATACTGAAAGGGTATTGGAGAAATAATGGTTTTGTTTATTTTTTTGCTCACAAATGCAGTTAATGTTCTTTATATTACAAACAGTTACTTTTTGATGATATTTCTCATAATAAGTTATCAAATGACTATGAAGATTACAAACCAGAACTGTCATAGATCAAGGGAGAATGCTTATTTTACATTTTAAATGGGTGGCATTAAATATCAGAATATCATTGAGGTAAAATGTATTCATAAAATACAAATGAAACTGAAAAATAAATAGAATAGAATAAGAATAAAGAAGATAAAAATAAAGAAGAATAAATTGATAATAATAAAGACATAAAGCAAAAACATAGTAGAAAGAAACAACATAGAAAAAGGACAAATCTTTAAAATATGCATTGGAAGATATAAGAGTAATGAAACGTCACGTAAACACATCTGAAAGCATTAATTATTACTTCCTATGATAAATTAAGTTATTAAATAATTATAAAAATTAAGAAGAATTTTGTCTCAGCATTCAAATTTTAAATATAATGCATTACATGACAATAATAAAATAAATAAAAATGAACTCGTGAAAAGAACTACAAATCAAACATGAATTCATCACTGACAATAAAAAAAATTGTAAACAAAAGAGAAGAAAAACCCATTCCAGATGAGTAGAAAGATGGAATTTTAATTACTTACAGAATGTTTTCAGCACTAAGTGTTGTCACCTTTTTAACATAGTAGCATTTATGTTTACCTTGAAACATTTCCTGCAACAATATATCAACATAAGAGGATTTCAATGAAAAAAATTAAATGGGCAAACGATTCTTGACTCTCAGATACTTACAACCACTAGTACTTTCTCTGCGGCTTCAAGGGGGCATTTCTTGTGGGTGGCGTATAACATCCAATGGGGTGACCAATGAAACACCAATCTTAAAATACCTCCACTACAAAAGATACAAAGCCATGTTATAACGGTCATAGTAACATGCCTTTTATACCCATACACTTCCTGAAATCAACAATAATAAATTAAAAATTTGGTTAACTGTATTAAAAAGAAAATAATCTCCACTTTTTTTTTTTTACCATCTGGTCTTCTTCCCCAATATTGATATAATCCACTCCATCCTTAAGTGGAGGAGGGCCATTCTGCTGAACTTTTGAATCTGCAAAAATTAGGAAATTTAAAATTCATTGATTTCATTTTAAATTTAGAGCAAAATTCTTGTGTTAGGTATGTTTACATTATCACTACATACTAATAAATAGTTATTCCGTATACGTTTATGTAAATTTCTATTAGTTTGCCACCTCTACATTCTTTTTGAGAAATGACACACTAGTAGAATTTCAAACATCTAAATCAATACATACGCTGATAAATAATATTATGAAATTTAGTGAATTTTTAAGGGCACCTTTACTATAAACGTAAAGTTAGAATGTAAGTTACTAAACCCATTTACAACTATTTTTCATTTGGTTAAACTAGGCTACATTTGTGCATGATATTCAATGGAACAGGTTTATTATTAGCAATATGAGTTATTTAGTGGGTCAGGTTTATTATTAGCACCTGTGATTAATGAAAATGGATAACTAAGAGAATCTGGATAGTAGTGACTAGGATATCCATAAAACTGATTTCTAAAAATAATATTTTTTAAGATTCATTGGGAATGCTTCTGCTCACTCACTTGCACACTCCCTAAAAAGAACAAACATGCGTATAACACACAAAAATTTCGAAAATCATCACAAAGCTTATCTAACACTTGAAATATTACACTTGCAAGATATGTAAAGCAATGGAAATTGTTTTTATATACAAAAAATTACAACACTAGTTGCATTTCCATTATTTTGCTACTCTAATAATAAAATGTATGTAGGGGAATTGTGAATTGAAGCAACAACATAACAAAAATATAATATATTTTCAGCATGAACCTTGTAACAACTGGGTGCTTTGTTCTGGATGTCCTCTTCCATGGCAACTGGTACCAAATACTCTGGAATAAGCATTGCGTTGAAAACTTTGTTTTAGATGACTTGGGGTTCCTGGCATTTTGAGTCTTTGCTGTCACCGAAGAGAAGTATGACTGATAAATATTAGTCTTTTAGGAGTCAATTAGTGTATAGAAATTTGAATACAAACACTATCTAAATATTATACAGCAAATGGATAATTGTTCCTAACAATGTAACTAAAAGAGACAAGTCTTCAATGTTCCTCAAAAATATGCCTTCTTTATCAATCACATACAAAATGTATCTTCACACAGTGCCAGTCTCCAAATGATTCAGTATCAGTCAGGACACTCATTGTAGTAAAGAAGGAAAAGCTGATGTCAGTCTCCTGGATCAGGCTTCCTCCAGCCACTGTGTGGCCGCTTGTTATTGCCAGACGTCATAATTTCTTCAAAACAATAAACATTCTTCAGCATTAGAGACATCACGAGATCACACAATTAATTCAAAATGCACAATGTCAATAATTTTTTATAAGTCTTCAATGTTCATCTGCCCAGTATTCGGACTCCAGGGTGTAGGAGACCTTCCACTGTTATTTAATTTAAAATGTTTTTATTTAACAGAAGGCAAACAGTCTGATGAAGTTCACTCGTTACTATCATTTGAAATAAAAAACTAATCATGGTTCCACCAAAATCATACGTCTTGTAAAAACCACAAAGCTCCTACATATAATTTTACTTTAACAATTCGTTTCCAGCGAATAACATGTGTTGCCTTCTTCCGACGAATGTTATTAAAAATGCACTCTCGTCCGTACAACTCAAATCCCCGGTACGACGTTACTCACACATTGGACAGACATCGACACACCACAGCGATCTCTGATTACGTAACACTCAAGTGCTCAATACAATTTAGAATATAATTAATGATAAATGTCTAGTAAGGACGTTTTTCTTCGAATAAATAGACATGCAGGAAGCTTCCAATATGTTAATTATATCGATAACTGCGTCTTCAGAATACTACACACGTCCACCGAGCCACACAGCCCTCTCAACAAAAGCGCATGCGCGTTGATTCACGTCTTGTGAAAGATTGAAGTGGATTGAAGGTTAGCATGGATGAGACATAACCATGTCTCGTTCAAGTTTCTCTCACTACGGTTAATTTTTATTGCATCAAGTATCTCATGACTTGTTAATGTACGTTAACGCAAACAATTTCATATTAATCTGATAATATAAATACATTTACTTTTATTTTAACTCAATTTTATACCACGTGTTTTCAGGTCTGAAAATAACTTCATAAATTTACTTGTCCTGTTATATTTTAAGATCATGTTGCTTTAAATACATTATAATTGTTCGCTGACTTAGTATTTAGGCATATTATGCTATTGATATGGTAGCTGAAATAATTTTGCACCTTTAGCCACAACCTACAAGATTAGAAGTATTTTCACTCTGTCATCTAATTTGATTGAAGAATAAAAACTTTCTGCATTAATAATTTTAGTCACTACCAAATATTATTAATAAACAATATAGTAAATAAATTAAGCTTGAAAAGCGGAGAAGGTTGTGAGCGAAAAAGAACGGATGTAAAACTATTTTATGACTTTCCCGCCTTCGTTCTATTTTCGGGATTGGCTGAGATTTCTTGGAGCTTATCTACTTATATGACAGTGGGAACATTTCAATATACAATTCGAACTAATTTGCATTTATCAGAATGAAGACATTTATAATAGTAATTACTTCGTGGATAAAGATTAAAAGGGGAATGAAGATAAATGTACACAAAATGAAGACACAAGACTTATAAAATAGTATTTTCATGTTTGACGTGTTGACTGAAGAGAAGGAAAGCACACGATGCAACATCCTTGGCTCTTATCGACCTACATTCATTGTCATTCCCGCCCATACAGAGAAACTGCTTTAGGAAAAGATTGTTGAAAAATATGTATCACTTTTTTTAAAAGTATCTTTACGCCATTTCTAATCGCAAAATTAATATAGGGTTATTAATTAATTAACTAAGTATTATAATATTTTTGTTCTCTCTTACAATTGGAATATTTTACCTGGGAGTCTGGGAAATAAACTTCGTAAAAAGTATCTCACTTTCTAGGATATCGTCTTTCCTAAAAATTTTAAAGGGCAGATGTCATCACACGTTTCAAGAGCACGATCCTAAAGCGAATCAGCATAGTGTGCCATTGGTGACGTTTATAAGTGAACTGGCGAATAAAAATGATTCCTAAAAATCCAAAGTACGCTAAAAATTTGCCACATTCGCAGTTCTCACAGTGCCGATGTTTTTGCTATTTTGCTGACTGCCTATGTTTAATGCCTGAAATGGGCCCCGCGTCGTCATTAAAATTTTTTTTTAATCATTCACGACGTAATTGTGTTGAGAACCCGTCTATTAGGTAATATATTCAAAAGAGAAAAAAATAAGTGTTTAGGATGTGGAGAACGAAAAATTTAAGGTAAATAAATGTAGTAATTATTTGTAATAACCTCACACAAATAGTTCATTATATTGGAAGGTACTTTTTGTAAAATAGGGAAGAAAAGACCCGTGGAGCTTGTCTAAAACAGAGACTGAAGAAAGTTTACTACATTGGACGAAGAATATAATGTATTTAAATGAAACCATGTTCCTTGCGGTAGTAAAAAACTTAATAGTAAGTACCCCCAATTGGGCGTAAATTAATGACAGTATTTCAGACTAACACACTGAGTTTCCATGGTGAGTCGTAACGTGACACCTCTTAGAACTGTACCGTCCTCACAGATTTCAGAGAATTGTCAATATTTGAATAATGCGATGATCAAATCACAAACACTTCCTTCATATATCAAATTACTAGCTCAAATAACAACTCTCAAATTTCCATGAATCCATTCAGCAAATGCTGAGGCGTTTTCTTATGTCTTGTTTTCTTTTGGACAAGAAATGAAACCCATATTCCTTCTTCCCCATGCGTTACACACAGACATACACATTGTTTGAAGGCGTAATTATGATCATATTGCTATAATGCTAACATTCTTTTGCTTCAATCAAAATCATTTGTGGCACATTAACAGATTCTGGATTCGATGTGCCCTTAGCTTTTACAGCACTTTTGAGCGTAGTATTTTAATAATATTAACGTGTGTAATACTTGAGGACTTCTATATCCTAAAACGAAATTTGACGACACAAGACTTGGAAACCAACGCAAAGTAATTTTTTGTAGGGGAAACATGAGAATAATGCAAATCCAGATACAGGAAAGGAGAAAAATTAAGGAATAGAGTAATTTGAGAATCAAATTGATGGTTAAAATAGACTACTGAAATGAAATGGGTCGCATATATTGAACTTTGATACCAAGCAAAAAACATGGAACGATTTACAGTGTAGGGTGGGCAATTAATGTAGCCTGCTTACCCAGATTGAAGGAATTCAACTCCTCTCTGACCTTAGAACATATCCGATATTTTTCAGTTGACAGGAAGAAAAGTAAAGGAAAAAGGGCGGTCATATTCCCGAAACTGCTTTTGTGGTCAGGGCACGCAAAAATTAAAATTGAAACTCGCAAATTTCAAATTCTATAAATATTGATCATTTGAAGATTATATAAATACATTATTTAATTTATTTATTTTTAACACACAGTGCGCGAAACGCTGTTTCTCGTGCTAGTTTTACGTGTTCGAAACAGATATTTTCTGCACAGTGTGCGAAACATCTGTTATGATTCGCAATTGTCTTTCGTCTTGACGTCTTAGTTTATGTTTTACTCATTGCGTTTCGCTCACGGCGTCGTTAAAAAATAGTACTCTCGCTATGCTCGGACGACAAACTCGACTCGTGCGTGAACCACCTGTTTCGCACCCTTGTTACCTAAACTACTATTATTAGTAATTTATTTTTAAAGTAAATTTCTTTCTTCTTCTTCTTCTTCTTCTTCTTCTTCTTCTTCTTCTTCTTCTTCTTCTTCTTCTTCTTCTTCTGGAGGTGGTGGTGGTGGTGATCTTCCCCCGTTAGACGATGACATCCGGCGCCCACCTACCGTCGGCTAGCGAGGTTTCTCCTAATCAGGTATCTCTAACCAGTGGAGCACTGCCCCAGTTAGGACAAGCTCTAAGCTTCCGACCGGTCTTCCGGCAAGTGTGGTAGTTTAGTGAACAGTGTAAGTGTGTGTAAATAAGGGGTGAGGATAGGACAAGGAAGAGGAAGGAAACATCGTACGCGGTCCGTGGCCCGTTTGTTAGGGTACTGCTCCGGCATTCGCCTGGTGTTGATCTGAAGAACCACGGAAAATTAACCATCAGAGCAGCCGGCCGCTAGAATTCTCCTCCAGACAGCGACTGAACGCGTCCTAGTTATATAGCTAGTGTCGAAACTTCTGCAACCGTCGAGACTCAAACCTAGAACCTCCCGGTCAGAGGTACTGCAGTGACATCAGTTAATGCCCTGAGCCACCTCTCCCGTTCTTTTGGAAGACAATGTTGAAGATAAATATGATGAACAAAATTCTGATTGTGAATCGAATGATAATGTTAAAAAAGTCTGTAAATTTAGATAAGGACCATGAATTAGCCAAAGAGGCTGGAGAACAATATCGTTATAACATTGTGGAGCACACATATTTTCACATGAATGCAAACATGATACACGTATTCACGATGGAAATCTCTCTCATCTGCAAAATATTCCGGCAATATATTGTAAAGTAATTTATTTCAGAAATTTCTAACAATTCCTGCATCTAAGAGAGTGCAAAAGAAAAGGCTGGTGGTTTATTACTTCAGCAGTAGGATAGAAAGTCCACTATTACAAGAATAAATGAATAAATTCAATAAATGCTGACTAAATAAAGATAAGCTGTAAATCATAAAAAATTCTCTGGTCAAAAAAAAATGTGAACGCGCTTCTACAAGGATGGAAAAAATGTCAAAATTTTGGTGAAAATTGTGATTCTTTCTTATGTTTATGCAAACATGCACATATTTTTTTAAAATTCTGTAATGTAAGAAACACTGTTATTGGTAAAGATTAAGGCAGGAAATAATTTTGACTTCTTGTCTGATATTTATTTTACATAATGTTCTGTCTTCTTGTTCTACATCAATATGGAAAGTAAGGCATCTCCATAAATGCAGTATATACTGACATTTATTTCTCATCACATACCCTCCTAATAGTTTCTGAGTCAACGTAAAAAGTAATTTCCTCCAATGCATTCTTAGGTTGTTCTAAAAATGCATCGGGCTACCGGGTCCAGCGCGACTGAACATGTTCCGAAAAGTGGTGCGCCTAAAAGGGTTAATTATAAGAATGTGGAAAAAAGCACCAACTTTAGTTAATTTCTTCTTTGATTCTTCCCATGATGAATGGTGCTCACTCACGTACCCCCTTCGAGCCTCTCCCGTACGCATACACGGTTGTAGAATCCCTTAACCTCCTTATTAATTTTGATTATTATTATTATTATTATTATTATTATTATTATTATTATTATTATTATTATTATTATTATTAGAGTAAATTAATTCGTTTTTACATCTCTGAAGTTAAATTGTTCGATGATCAAAAAGCCATGCTTCCATTCGCAGTTTCACAACATTTAGCAACCGACACCACTTGTCCAACTACTTCACGTGTCATCGTCGTTTCTCGTTCTTTTCAATGTCAGTTCCCGGCTATTGACAGCTACTAGAAAATCATTTTAACTTATTCCCTCCTACCACTTATGAAACGACTGTGATGTCATACGGTGGCACTAAGTATTCATTTCTCATTTTCTCAATTTCAGTTTTTTTATCACTTTAAAATAATTTATCTGCTACAAATTTAATAACTAGAAATCATGTATTACTTTCAACATGCTCACGAACAACGAGGTGGCGATAATGTAATATCCTGAAACACGCTGGAGATTCATTCGAAAAAAGACCTGTTGTTTTTATATTTGCTTATTTAACAGCACAATTTTCTATTTGTAATCAAGGTTTTGTGGGGATAAAATAGATCTTTTATTTCAACGATCTACTAGATATGATGAGTGAGATATGATGAGTATTGACTAAAACTCTCGATTTTGAAGTACGCCTAATTTTAACAACTCAACAACTTAGCACTACTGATATTCAAAGTTGTAGAGTTGTAGTCAGAGAGGAAGATATATTTAGAAAATAGATATGGGGATAATAATTTAGGTATATTTGAACAATGCTCACGTGGTATCACTACCTCTGACCGGGAGGTCCTAGGTTCGCGCCAGACGGTAACAGGATTTTAGACACTAGGTAGATAGCTACGTCTAGTTCTGTCGCTGTCTGGATGAGAATTCTAGAGGCCAGCTGCACTGATTGGTAGTTTTCCGTGGCTTCTCCGATCAACTCCAGGCAAATGCTGAAGCAGTATCCTAACTAACGGGCTCCGGACCGCATGAGATCTTTCCTTCATCTTCCTTGTTGGATTAATTGTTTTAGCGATTCCGGGCACTTCAACTAACAGGGTCATTAGTCCAGTAAGTGTAGTGCATGTGTTTGCTCGGGATTTCGCTGTGATCTTTCCCACATTGTATGACGAGATCCGGCGCCGACCTACCGTCGACTAGCGGGGTTTTCCCTAACCATGTATCTCCCACCAGCAGGGCACCGCCCCAGCCGCTGTAAGCTCTCGATATGTCTCCCGGCATGTGTGCTTGTGTAGGGCGTGTTAGTGTAAGTGGAGAGGATAGGACAAGAAGATCGCGCGCGGTCCGCGGCCCGTTTGGTAGGGTATTGCTCCGGCATTCGCCTGGTGTTGATCGGGGATGCTACGGAAAACTACCGATCAGAGCAGCTGGCCTCTAGAATTCCCCTCCAGACAGATACACTAGCTAACAAGCTAGTGCCGAAAATCCTGCCACCGTCGGGACACGGTCCTAGGACCTCCTGATCCGAGGGACTGCAGTGACATCAGTTGATGTCCTGAGCTATCTCCTTATTCGGCCTCTCTTCCTTGTCCTATCCTCACCCCTTACTTACACTAACATGCACTACACTACCACACTTGCCGGGAGACTGATCGGGAGCTTACATAGAGTTTGTCCCGGCCGGCCCGTTTGTTAGGATACTGCTTCGGCATTTGCCTGGAGTTGATCGGAGAAGCCACGGAAAACTACCAATCAGTGCAGCTGGCCTCTAGAATTCTCATCAGGGGCTGGTGGAAGATACCTGGTTGGGGAAAATCCCGCTAGCCGACGGTAGGTGGGTACCGGATCTCACCATCCAGCGGAGGATCACCGCAGCTTCCCGAGGGAAAAGTACACTATACTTATGGGACTAGTGACCTTAGCAGGTGATAGCCGGGACACGCTCTGACAGCTGGAACATTTCTCTGGATAACAGGTCCCCTGCTCAGATCTCGGTAGGATCAAATATTTGCGCTTCATGACAATCCAATGTCATTATGTTTATGTGCAGCATTAACACTTTTCACCATCTTGACAACAATTTTCAATTGTTTTCCGAAGGCAAAACCCGTTTCATTCTATCCACATTGTGTGAGTCATCCTCTTTCGTTCAATCTTCACCCTTAATGTCAATTCTCCCGTTATAAGATCGCTGATCGTTACAAGAGCGTTACATGGTCACGAATACAATGTTTGATTCCATAGCTCAATTCAGAGAGAACACGGTGGTTAGAGCCCCTGCCTAGACAACATGACCTGGGCTCGGATCCTGATGGGATAAAATGTTTGCACTTCGTGACAATCTATTTTCAGTTTGATTATGAAGTCCTTAGCACTGTTTCACCGTCTTGGCAACCATATTGTTTTTGAAGACAAACATTGTCTGATTCAACTGTTAGTCTGCGATGTGTGAGTCATTCCATTTCGTTCCATTTTCACCTTTCATGTGAATTGTATTGTTCGTATTTACCCTGATGGTTATGGAAGTGGAGCGAATGAATAAAATCAGAGGCACACCCAAAATTTTTATGTGTGAGTTGGGGGCAGGGAGGGAGGTGCTTATAAGCATACTATATGTTTTCTTAAAAACAAATAATTTATACTAAATATAAAATTTATTTATATTGATTGACTTATAGTTAATATTTATAACGCAAACCATTCATATAGTGCATGACTTTCGTTAGTATAGAAAATTAGTAAAAGCTGTACTGTACTTTATCGCCTTACTACGTCCGTAGTAAAGTGAAAATATTGTAAATCTGCAGCAAACGTCGGCGATTTTTCGGCAAAAAAAAACTCTGGTGTCTAAAAAGTGGATAAATCTTATTCCTATTTGCAGTAAATTACTTCCTCTAACACGCTGAGTAATCAAAGTCACCATTTTGTGGGTCCTTCATACTAAAACGAATGGTGCAACAACACATCCTTTCTCGCATTATTTCTAAATTTGCAATATTAAAAAATTCAGAGTTCAACGAAAATGAGACCCACGCCAATCTTCTATCCGTGGAAAAAATTGAAGAAACAATTTGGAGCTGGTTTTTCGAAAATGCTTGTTTTTAATTGTATTGATTTAAAGCCCAAATTACGCGAAAACTACTCGTTCTTAAAAAAACCAACAAACTTCATGACCTTTTTTAATGAGCTGATAATTTTAAACAGAGAGCTGAACATTTTAAAGCAAAAATTCTGAGCCGTTTTAGAAGAAAATAATGTTTAAAATTTGTTTTTAAAATGCCTAAAGAAATTAGTAAATTTCGTGTAATTTCTGGATGGTATTAATACCATTTGTAACAAAAACATCGAAAACGAATCAAAATATTTTATAAATTTTTTTCCTAGCATAGAGTAAACAACTATAAAAATGGCGGAGATCTGATTTTCGTTGAACTTTTAGCTTTCAATAATATCAAAATTTAAAAAGAATGCGTGAAAGTATGTGCTGTAGTATCACCGCTCGTTTTAATGTGTATCATTGGCTTCTGCAGAGAGGGCGAGTGAAGTCACACGAGCCTCGCTTTTGGGTGCAGCCATTAACGTAGTAAAGCAGGGATCGGCAGAATTCGGTCGCCCGTGCCGGTTGCGCCACCAAGCGCCGACCGCGCGCCGCGAAGCAGGGAAGCTCGAGCTTGCGCTGCCGCTCTACTGCCGGGCTCACGCACCTACAGCGTGGAATGCCGAGACATGTAGTAAAGCTTTTACATTTTCAGTTGCAGAAACTAGTGGTGTTACAACAGAACGTAATTTTTCGAATTATTTGTGAAGTTTCGTAATATTATAATACTATTTCAACTCCCAAACATTTTCAACCCGCAAAATTTTCGTACATGCTGGGATTTTCGTACACGTTTTACGTATGTGCCTCGGTTTTGCACATGCCCTGAACAGAGTAGCAATACTATCTTACCAATCCTTAAAACGAAAGTTGAACAGGAGCATCGCATATTTTCAAACAGTTTTACTTTACAATATTTAACGTCAACAAAAAACACAAAGCACGATAAAGTACAAAAATAAAAATGCAATACCTGAAAATGGCTAAATCATGCAGTGCGTGAGCAATGTTTGTTCGTCTTTTAGCATCGAATCCGGATTATCGACGGCCGGATTTTTGACATCATAATTATTGACGCTGTACTGTTTTTAACTAAATAGAATAGGGAGCCAGGTCACGGTCGAGCATCTGAATGGTTTGGGCGAAATTTATTCTTCACAGAGAAATTTGAAGTATAAAGATTATTTTAAAATATTTTTTCACTTTCTCGCCTAACTACATAATTACATAGTAAAAAGAAAGTATTGTAATGCTTCAACGGAAAATGGCGATTTTTCTTCTGAAAAACTCGTACTGCTTTGCCCTGCAAACGAATATATATATATATATATATATATATATATATATATATATATATATATATATATATATATATATATATTCGAAGAACATGGCGGCAAAACGTCTGTCCTGCAGTCAACGTTAGCGCCTAAGCAGTTCAGACGATCTTCTCCAAAATTGATATTCCCCTATTCTCCGATCGATCGGGCCTTTCTCGATGCCTTAGCCTTGCGAGTTTCAAACTGATATTTTGATTTTGGGGGTACTTTATTTGAATTGAATTAATGCCTTATTTTTTTACGTGGCGAGACTCAGGTCATGAGGTCTGCTCGTCCGTCTGACCACGCAAATTTCGCTACGCTCCGGTTGCGTGGGCTTCCGCGGCCGGAGTTTATGTTGTCTAGGCTATCCGGGACGAGCCGCGTCACTGACATGGTGGATAACGTTCCGGCCAGCGTATTGTGGCCTTCTTCAGAGCGTATTGCTGCCTGCTGGCTAGCGCGCTGGCCTTATATGGAGGGGAAGGACGGGATTGGTCAAGTAGCCGACCAAGCGGGCAGGTGGTGCGGGATTGGTGGATGAAGAACGGAGCCATAACTGGGGAGCGGAGCAAGTTGGGGTCACGGGAAAGATGGCAATAGAGAGAGGGATAAATTCTAAAGTGGATTAATACGAAAAAGGGAGAAATTCTCACAAGAGAGCCGCCTGAGAGGCAAAAAACCAACAGCCAATTAGCGGCCGCGATAGTGAGCCCGTCATAGGTCGACCGTAGGGGTGTGTCCCTTAGGGCAGGCACCGGATTGGCGGGCCGTGAAGGTCCGTTTCTAGGTGGTGCTGAGGCGGAGACCATCATCTCGGTTTAAGTTAATTGATATTTCTAGGGCCTCTTTAATGACGCGTGGCCACCAGCGGTCCTCGGAACTAATCGTGTGGGTAAATTCAATATGACCGGTTTCGGCGGCGTGTTGTGCTAAGGCCGATTTGTGAGTGCTCTTCAGCCAGTCATTGCGCATGTGTTCACGCATGCGTTCATCTTCGCTACGCTCCTTTCACCAACTAGCAGAGAAAGGAGGTATTTCTTGG